AATGTTAGTGTTTGTGTATATTCATGCGAGTATTAGTCGACCCAAAGGAAGATTAATATTTGGCCGAATTGCATACACACTTGTAATGATAAACATGTGATAATTATAAGGATTTGCTTTGTCGATGATAAATCAATCCAAAGACTGGTTTGTTGTTGGACGTGCTTTATTGTCAATGTTTGATTATTACAACAAGATACCTCTAGTAGTTAATATTACTGTCCAAAGACTTGATATTGATGGTGCATTGGGTATCTTGAGATGGGTTAAACCACTATTTGAATATATATTATTTATTTTTTATATAATGTGAGCTTTGGATTGGGCGGCAACTTAGTCTGAAGCATTTCCATGTGTGGGATTGTCCAGCTGAGGCAAGACCTTATAAGTCAAATGAAAAGAAATTGGACTCCCGAACAGTAAGTGGTTATATTATTGGTTATGCTGAAAGATCCAGGGGATATAAATATTATGATCCCACATTAAAGACAATTTCTTGAGACGGGAACTGCTACGTTCTTTGAGGATATTGAGTTTGGGGGGAAGAATAAGATTAAGAATTTTGTATTGGAGGAAGAATCGACAATAAATCCAGAACCGATTCAAACAGTTACTTTTGATAAAGTAAGTTCGGAACCTCCACAAGACATTGATGATAAACCCCTCACTCAAGATGATTTGGTTGTTCATGAAGAACAAACTCAAGATCCTCAAGAACCTGTGCATCATGAGCTAATAACTTTGCAGAGATCCACTAGAGAAAGAAGAAGTGCTATTTCGGATGATTACATGATATTTCTTCAGGAACATGAGGAAAATAATGATATAATGGAAGATGACCCAGTTAACTTCCGTCAAGTTATATAAGGTTCTAAATCTCAAAAGTGGATTGAAGAAATAGGATAAGTATAAGTCCATGCAAGACAATAAGGTTATTGGGAACTTGTCCCATTACCAGAAGGTATGAAGCTCATTTGGCTTCAAGATGAATATTGTTGATGATTGTATGTATCACAAGTTTAAAGGGAGACAAGTTTAGTCTCAATCAGTGCCCAAAGGGAATTTGGAAATTGAGGAAATGCAAAAGATTCCCTATGCATCAGTTGTAGGGAGTTTGATCTATGCCTAAGTATGTACGCATCCGGACATAGCATATATAGTTGGGGTTCTAGGCGAGATATTTAAGCAATCCAGGAATAGACCATTGAAAAGCAGCAAAAGGGTCATAAGATATTTAAAGAGAACAAAAGATTATATGCTCACATATAGGAGGTCGGACCAGTTGGAGATCAGCTGGGTTTTTTGACTCGAGATTTTGTAGAATGTCAAGAATTTGTAACTTGCTATGAGGTATCAAATCATGGAATATGGTCGATAAATTTTGTCACGAGTGCGCAAATTGTGAAAGGCATTGAAAGACCACTTAAGTTATATTGTGACAATAAATCAGCTGTATTGTTAAGGAAAAAGTACAAAGTGGACAGATTTTCATAGAACACTTAAGGACAAACTCCATGATACCGAGATCCTCCGACTAAAGGACTTCCGCCCAAGGTCTTTCATGAGCATTTTGCTCACATGGGTGTTTTACAGTTTGAGGAATTTGTGGTTTAGTGGGAGTTAGTCACTTTCATATATTTTATGTTCTATGTTTAATTTTATATATGTATACATTGTTTTTTGGACATATTTGATTATCTATAGATATGCGGTTTTCTTGTTCATTCATTACACTTTGTACATTAAGGTTATTGTATCGATCTCGATAAGTTAAAGTTTGGACCAGTTGAAAATAGACGTGTACGAGATCACCTTCACGTAATTTTTCATGCTACACATTTCATGATGAATCCATGTCATTTGGTTATGTCAGGATGAGTAATCTTGTTGGTTTTAGTTGCGATGATGCAATGAAAAGCTGGTTTGGTTCTATATCCTGATATGATTAATGGACGAGGACTTTTGGAATATGCTAAAGGAATATAATGACAATTTTGAGCTCATAAAGTCTAACACATTTGTAAGGTTGTAAAAACATATATATTTGTGACCGAGTGGGAGATTGTTGGCAAATTTTGGGTCATGTATATATATGATACATATTTAAATGTGTTAGGGTCATTATTTATTAAGCCAAATAATAAAGTGATCTAACTAAATTAAAGTTTTGGCTAAAGGCATATGTCATGAAAATAAAATTGTGTAGAGACCATAGAGCAATTTCTAATTTGATGAGGGGCCAAATTGGAAATACTAAAACTTAAGTAATTAACCTAATTACGGTTATCTAAAGGGTCATGGTCCCCTTCGAGAGCACACACGTAGAATCAGTCCGTTCCTTTCTTTCTATCCCCATCAAGAGAGAAAATCAAGAGGGAAATACAGGTGCTTCTTCGAGTGGAAGACCATAAGATCAATATAGTGTTCTACAAAGACATCATCGTTATGGCTAATTCAGGTACGCTTTCGTATTCAAGTACGCTTTCGCATTCAGTTTACAGCATGTTTATCAGTATGGGATTATGTTTATGTTTGATTGTTAGAATCAAAATCAGGATTATTATTATTATTGTTATTATTGTTTTTCAAACATTATCTTCCTTGCATTCGAAGGATTTTTTCTTCGAATGACGACTAACGTGATTTCAGGAACACCTTCAAAAATATTTTGCCTTTTAACGTGGCCTACATGTGGTTCTTAATGTTTTTCCTCTATTAGATTGAAGTATTTAAATGTTTATCATGTGATTAAGATTTGTGTTCTATATCTTTATGTTTTTATTAACATTAAAATTGTAATTATTTTTAGAGATTTCAATCACAATAATATATTAATGTTTCCATTAAATTATTATTTTTAAATATTCAAAATAACCTAAAATAGTGAGAAAATAATAATTAAAACAAATAATAGAAAAAAGAAGAAAAAATACCGAAAATATCAACAAAAGAGAAAAAACAAAAACAACATAAAAAATAAAAAATAACTTCTTCATACTCATCGTACAACAAAAATAAAAAATCTCACAAAATAGTTTATAAAAGAAGAAAAAAAATGAATAATATTAAAATAAAGACAAAAAATAATCATCTAAAAATAGAAATATAAATTTACATAAGTTATAATAATAATAATTGAGATAAATTGTGGAAATTTTAGATAAATTTATGTCTCCCAGACATTGAATCTTTAATAAACATAAAAAATTCAAAATTACAATACTAAAAAGCCTCTTTTATGCCTGTAAAGTTATCGAATTTATGTTTGATCTATAGTGTATTTTAAAATTTTTAATTCCTAATAATTGTTGTTGCATTTTTCTATCTTGAAATATTATATAATTCAAAGTATTGTTTAAAAAAGATAAAAAAAATTATAATAAATAAAAATGAAAACATCATATTAAAAATCATACAAAATAGGTAACTTGTAAGAAAAAAATAAATAAATAAAATTATTAATAAATTTTAATTATATATTATATAAAATTAATTAAAATTGTCATAATTGCAAATCACATTCCAATTGTAAGTAACACAAGTTGACACACAGCAGCATATGCAATCACCCATAACATAACATCATGCACCACTTTTTTTTCTTTTGAAAAAAAAAAACAACATTAAGAGTACAATACAACATACAACACCCACTAGGATCATGCATATCCATCATGTCGCAAATGTATACATCATGCTCACCGACATTTTCAGGTATTTGTGCCCACCCCATTCATCGATCCTGTCATTCTTAACCACCATGTTCATTCGGTATATATATATATATATATATATATATATATATATATATATATATATATATATATATATAGTATCAAACACACACGAAAATTAAGAAAAAACACAAACCCTAGTTCAAATTAAAACAGGACAAGACAAAAGTTCACCCGAGCCAAGTTAACGCTGTAATGAGAGAAAGAAATTAACCAAGCAAAATTTGCAGTTTTCAATTATAAAAGTGCGATGTTAACATTATTACTCTTAACCATTTACTGTGTATAATTCCTTCTCATTCCAGCATTCTGGGGACTTAATTTTCTTGGACACAGAATGGTGCCCTAAAAAATCAAACTCACCTTTTTTTATCTTCTTTTTTTGTCATTTTCCATTTCTCGAAAATCAATAGAGAAAAATATGAAGTTGGAGGAAAACTTAGCCATAATTATTTGAGCTGAAATTTGGGAGCTTGTAATTGGTTGAATAATGGTGGAAAGGATAAGATTCTCCAATAAAACAAATGGAGCAAATTTAAAGTTAGAAAAGGGAAATTTTTAGTACTACCAAATATATACATACACAAACCAATCATCAATCATTCTACTTAAATGTCTTTTTAACTCACCATCAAACATAAATCTCACGTTTACTTAATTATTAATAAATTCAAAACTATTTATATTAGTAGAAAATTCTTCATCTCACAAGCCAATATGAATTTTATGATTGAATTAAATTCAAAAATATACATTACTAGAAAACTAGTTTTTTTCTGCTAATTTTCTTGCAAAAAATTGTTTAAATTTATAGAAAACTTATTTCTTGCAATTTTTACCAAAATTTTGCAAAAATATTCCCATGAACAATGAAAATTTTTAGTAGTGATATCATGTATGATTTATCTTAATAATAGTTTTTGTATCTACAACGCATCTTTATTAATTATTCATAGATTTTATTCTTGTAAATTTTATATTCAAGGATGTCATTAATATAAGTAAAATAATATATAAAATAAAGAGTTATTTTTTAAATAATATAAATTTTTTATCTTTTAAAAAGCTAAAATCTTGATTGAAAACTTTTCGTTAATTTTTGAAAATAGAGAAAGGTAGTTGATGATATAAATATTATGGGGTCTTTGTGTTGGTGTGGAGTCTAAGAGAGGAAAATATTATTGATGTTATATGCTGAACAAAGGAAAATGAATTTAAAAGATAAAAGAAAATGAATAAAAGAAGGTATTGTTTTGTAGGTGGGGCATGAGAATTGAAGGGAGAAAGGAGGTTTTAATGGGGGAAAAAGGTTGGCGTTGGACTTTGTTTATCTCCACGCCACCATCTGTCACGCCGCTATCAACATAAGACGACAAATGGGGCCTTTTCTTTCTTTAATAATTTCCCAAAATGCTTCCCCACCAACTATTACGTGAACGTGAAGGATCATCCTTTCATCATTTTCTATTATTTTTTTATTCACATCAAATATTTCCAAACTGCCACAGAATAAATATACTCCTTACCATAAATTAAATTAAAAATATAATTTATATGTTTGTTAAACTACTTCTTTTAATATAAATTATTTCAGTAGTTATTGAGGAGAATTCCAGATTATTTGTCTTAATTATCGTAAAAAAAAACAATTAAATAAAGGTAGAATAGATAAATAATTTCTCCTTGCGCCTCATTCCCTATTTTCTTCTGAAACATTATAACATAATTCCTTCCTCATTTTCAACGTTTATCGTGGAGCATTAACGTATAAGTTGATGGATTAAACAGTGGAAAGTTGCAAGAATTGCAGAGAAGACCATTCAAAGAGTAAAACACAGTTTGAATTTTCTTTTCTTTCCTTTTTGTGACTAGCCTACTGCACTGTGGTGGACCTTGACAATATATACACATATAAATCCATTTAATACAAAAAAAAACCTTATATTTTTATTATTTAATTTTTATAATATAATGATGTAAAATAACAATTTATAATTAGTTATACTATAAGAAAATATATTTTAAATTTATACTTTTAAAATAATTACATAATAAAAACTAAAAATAAATATCTAGTTTTTATTATTGAAATAAATTATATATATATATATATATATAATTCCTAATAATAAATGTCAAAGGAAATAAATTACTCTAACTGTAGAACAAATTTATAATAAATTGTCTGTGGCTTTTAAAATGTTTTAACTAGAAAAAAAAGAGTAAAAAACAAATCTAACGAATAAACAACTTAATGCACTTATGTTTCATTTTGACCTTTGACTAAAGCTTCCCTCGATAAATATGAACAGAGTTAAAACCTATAATTAACCATTAATAAAATAATACATTTCTATAACACTTTTTAGCGTAGTATTTTTTTTATCTTTAATATTATGGTAATTTTTTTATGTAATAACTATTATGATAGTTATTTTTAAAAATTATGTTAATTTTAAATAACTTTTTTATTAAAAAATAAGAAAAAAATTATAAGCTAAAATTAATTTATGCATACATTATTTTATAATTTTTTTCCCATTTTAAATTCTTTAAAGATGATTTTTAACCTATGTGTAAATCAATTTTAGTTTATAAAAAATAGTTTTCTTTGTTTTTTTATTATTTTATCTTTATAATTATTTATGAAAAATATTTAATCAAACATATCCTTGATAGATGTAAACGTTTTCTAAATAACCCCAAACTTCAAGAGAGGGTTAAAAACACATTCTTTCTAGTATATTACTTTTTTATTGGTTAAAAATTATAAAATCAAGAGGAATTTTCATAAAAAATAATACGTAAGACTAAAAAAAAATTGGTAATTTTCTAATTTAAATAATTATAAATAGTGATAAAAATGTTTTTTTTTAACCAGCAATAAAAAAATGTGATAGAGAGTATATATCTTATACTTTAAACTTGATTTGATTTGAAAATTAAAACTAAAATTGAATACAAATTTTTTTATATTCAAATTAGATTGGCAATAAATTCTTTTGCTTGCGTATACCTTATTATATGAAAAAAAAGTATATATATATATATATATATATATATATATATATATATTATTTAAGTTTATGTTCAGTTATAAAGAAAAGAAAAGAAAATATAAAAAAATTTAAAAATATATTTATTTGTTTGTAAGAAAGTAATATAAAAAAAATTATAATTTTCATAATAAATAAATAAAAATAAAGTAATAATAAAATTAAAAAATTATCTATATTTATTTTGGAAAAATGAGAGTGATGAATAAAAAAAAACACCACTCGTTTCTTCTCGTACAGAATGAAGAAGTAAAACATATAAATACAATAGAAAGTTTTTTTGTTTAATATTTCACTTTCCCCTCTCTATATTTTTTTTTATATAATTTATGATGTATTTATTATTTACCAATCAATTTTAAAAGAAAAAGCATGATTGAGATTCTAACTCTAAACGATCTCCATATATTCCCAATATGACTTGAGTTGAAAGTAATTGATTATAAAAATTAACTTCTATGCGAATGTACTTTAAAATATACTTACAAAAATTTTTCATTCTATAACACACAATGTATTCACCGTATTTATGTCCAAAATACATAACATAAAATCATCATTAATTGTATTCAAGTTTAACTATTTTTATGATATTATTATATTTAATAACAATAATATTTCCATATCTCTATTTATTAACAATTGACAAAAAATATTGTGATTTGTTTGAATACTTTGTATATTTGTTAACTAATTTAGTAGTTACAGGGAAATATTATGTATTCACTTCATTATTTTTTACATATATATTTTCTATATTATTATTGAATTGATTCTTATAGAGTCTTCATATGTATATATATTTATATTTACTTCATTAACATTAAACTCATTAATCTTTTGTTATCTAAAACTGAACAAATATACCTCAAAATTTTGACATGAGTCTAGTTCATGAGAGAGCATCCATAAGTGCTCACAATTCGCCGATTTGAATCCTTGCAACTACCATATTATGGTACACATGTACATGTTTTGTTTGACCAATAAAAAAAGAAAAGAAATGAAAGAGAAAAACATTTCTCAAATGGCTATAAATATGGCCAGACAGACCAAAAGGCAGCAATAGAAACCACACATTCTGCACTTTCACTACGATTCTCCCTGTTAATTTTCCTTCTTATGGAACCCAAAGTTAACAACAACCCCAAGATGTTGGAAAAACAGTGGCTTTGTACTGCCTTGAATGCCAGAAGCCTAGGATTAGGCAGTGAGACCATAGTCTTTGCTCATGGTTATGGAACAGACCAGTCAGTCTGGGAGAAGATCATTCCCTTCTTTGCTGAAGACTACAAGGTTGTGCTGTTTGATTGGCCCTTTTCTGGAGCTGTGGATCCAAACCTCTATGACCCTTTCAAGTATTCCTCCATGGAAGCTTTTGCTGATGAGTTGGTCACTCTCATGGATCAGATGGACCTCAAAGCTGTCACCTTTGTTGGCCATTCCATGTCTGGCATGATTGGCTCCATAGCCTCCATCACTAGGCCTGACCTCTTCAAGAGGCTTATTCTCCTTGGTGCTTCTCCTAGGTAACCTTCTTTTTCTCTTACCCTTTCTTTTTCTTTTACTTTTTTCTCACAAGTATCCTTATTCAGTGTTCCATAAACTGATATTGAACCTTGTTTCATCTCTCTTTTCACCAAACATATCAGTTCTTCACTCATCCTTTACTTTGTTCTAATTATTACTTGGTTATTTCTTTTAACATTAAGAAATAAATTGAATTTTTTTATTTGATTTTATCAAACTTCTTATATTCTTGTACTATTGATCACTTTTTTTTGTTTGAGTGAAGAAGTTGAACTTCTAAGTTTTTTCTGGGATATATTGAAGTTCTTGAGTTAGTTGATAAAAACATTAATCATACTATAGTACGACTTTGAAACTGTTTTCTTCTTCATCTTCTTCATGATCTTTCTGTCATATATTACCTTTTTGGGTTTATCTTAACAGGGGTTTTAAATTGAAAAATATTTATATTTATTAAATATTTCAAATTATTTAAATATATAAATATTAAACACTTTTTGTTTGAAATAGTAAATATATTCTTAACAATATTTATATTTTTAAATCAATAATAGTAACATTTCCTTTGGAATTTAATCATTTTTATTATTACATAATTCATTATTCATACAATACATTTTCCAGTTTATATGTTTAACATCTCCCTGTCATATCAATCATCACACCTCATTTTGTTTTCTTATATCTCCTTCATTGTTTATAAATTTATTCTACCCTCAAACATCTTCATTCCTCACTGTCATTTTTTTTAGTATTTGTGTCACTAATTCCATCATCCTATGTTGTTTGAGTTAGCCTTAGTTATATATGATGTTTTTTTTTTTTTTTCTCAATCTCTTTCTCTTAAGGGGACCTGTGTTTAACTGGTTTGGTCCCAAAATTCTTTCTGGGACTTTATACTGTCTGTAGGAATCCATAATTGTGAGGGATAAAGAACAATAACCAATCAACACTATTCACACAACAACAAACCTAATTATTTGGGCAACTTGCAATTTTGACTGTGCAAAAGATAAGGATATATCATACCCAAATAAACAATAATTTTATTTCACTATTAAAACGAACCAATCAGATACCAAAATCAAAGGAAAAAGAAAAGAAAAAAGAAGATGAACCAACCAAAACATGTGGTGTATACGGGATTTGGGGAGGGATTCCAAATTTTTTGTACTCTTGTGGAATCACCTTTTTCAGCGTGGTGGGTTTGATGATGCCACCTTGCTTTCATCCATAAAAAAATTGTTAATATAATAATAAGCAGAAAAGTTCTGAACTAACTCAAAAAGACAAAACTTCACTTTCTCTTCCCACTTTGCTGACTTCAATTATCTCCACTTATGATTAAATAAGATTTGGAAGATTGCTTCTTAGCCCTTTTCAAATTTGAACCACCAATTTGCCGGCCAAGTCAATTTCAGTTAAAGATCAAAACATACTCTCTCAGCATATTTACAATTTTCAATTTTGATTCCTTTAAAGTAGAGAGATTTATAAAATGAAACGTAGAAAGATATTTTCTTGACAATTTAAAAGGGTGAAGTGATTAAGATGTGTCTTAATGTTAATCTTAGTCACAAATGTGTTACACTAACACACTTCTACTACAGTTTGAAAATTTGATTTTGATTCTATACCAAACAGCTCCTACAATATGTAAGCTCAACAGTGACCACAAAGTAAGGTTAATTATTTTAGTCTTTTACTTATGAGTCACTCTTCATCTTTTTTTTCTCTCTAGATTAGAATCATTGTTTTTTTTCTTTTTTTTCTTTTTTTTCATTTTTAACCTTTTTTAAATAATTTTTTTCCCATCATTCCATTGTCATTCTTTCCATATTCTATCATTCCAAACATATTATAGAAGAATTAAATTCAAAATTCTTGAAGAAGCTTTTGTTAGTTTGAATTGTAGGACAAGGTTATTATTATTCCAGATTTCAGTTATTTATTTTCACTATTTTTTATTTTTTACATTTATTAAATCTCTCATCTAGTAAAAATATTTAAATCCCTCATAGTTAATGTAAGAATCCAGCTTAATAGCAGAAATGGTTTTGTTGGATAAAGTTTGAAGTGGAGAAAATTTATTTTTGAAATTTGATGACATGACTGTCAAATGGAGAATCATTCATATATAAGAATTGAGTTCTTAATGTTAAAAAAAAAAAAAAAAATCTCTTATTAAAACTAATAAAAAAACCATAACATAGGCATAGAAGATTTAAAAATTATAGTTTCTTTAACCAACTCAAACCCAAGACATTTTAAGGATAAGTTCCTCTAACTTCTTGCCATAACATGCAGGTATCTTAATACAGATGACTATGAGGGGGGCTTTACTAGGTCAGATGTTGAGCAATTATTGCAGGACATTGAGGCCAACTATGACAACTGGGTTTCTGCCTTCTCCTTACTAGCAGTGGATCCAAGTGATGAGCCATCTGTTAACAAATTCAGAGAGTGCCTGAGGAGAATGAGAGCTAATGTGGCAGCCCCCTTAGCCAGGACTGTGTTCTATAGTGATCACAGAGATATACTTGAGAAAATTGAAACTCCATGCACCATCATTCAGACCAGTAGTGACATTGTTGTTCCATTCAGTGCAGCAGTTTATATGGAGAGCAAAATTAAAGGGAAAGTTACATTGGAGGTTTTAGACGCTAAAGGCCATTTTCCTCAGTTAACTGCATTCCTTCAGCTAGTTGATGTGCTCAAGGGTGTTATTGGCTAGCAATTCTCATTCTCCTTTCTTTTGTCATCTTAGTTATACCTGTTTCTGATTTCATTTTTATATAGGTTGATGTACATGTGTGGAACTGCGTTCACACCCCATTTAAGACTGAAGTTCCTACATAGTGTTGAAGTGAACGCACGTTGAGGGGTTCTCTGACGTGGTTCCAAGCATGCATGTAGTTTGTGTGAGGAGATTATATGGTGTGTGGAAAAAGTGTGGTATGTGTTGATTAATTCATTGTTTGTACTCATGAAATAGTGATGTGAATTAGCTGTGTTAGTGTACTTCTTTTTAATCTCTTTCCGTTGGTATGCTGGCAAGTAAAGTGCGGCAGTGAATTTATTTTTTCAAATTTTATGTTCACATGAATCATATTTTAACCATTGGTCAAATTCATCTTCAAGACATGATCTGCACCTATCTTTGTTCATTTGAGTGGTTGCAACTAGAAAAGCAAACAGCCGCAATTTTGACTTGATGAAATCTAAATGTCAAATTTTGCATTGAATAATTCTTTGAACATATCTAATGTTTACCACCAATCATTGCAAAGTAAGAAGTACAACACTAGTATCCAAGTTGAAGACTGCATCATTGGAATAGTACAATCCAGGAGTTTATAAGATAATATTGAAATAAACAAATATCAATGCATGACACAGTGAATAGTCATGATGCTTTAATTCAGGAGTATTCTCCTATTCTTAAGCTTCGTAGGAGATCCAAATATCCATGATATTCAGGAGTGATGTATCTGCAATATAAGAACAAATAATCATCAAGTTTTCACTAGAACCATCCCAAGAATAACCATTTAATAGAACATTTGCAAAAAAAAATCACTTTTGTTAGTTTGTATGTTTACAATACATGGTTCCATAGTTTATATCAACAAAGCATGGGGAGATTCCAAATCCATTGTGTACAAGGTCCATAAATTTTGGAAATGACAATGAAACAAACTTGAGTTTCCAGAAACCACATTAGCATACAACCAAAAGTCTTACATGCAAATACATACCATATGGTTCCCAGAATAGAACAATGATCACATTACCATTTTACATGCATGTTAGGAATTTAATGTACAAAGTCTGTTTAATCTAACCCTTCCAATTAAATGTTTACATTAGCAAACGGGAAAAATAAAAGTAAGGGAAAATGTAGAGAAATACCCATGTCGAAACAGGAAGTCAATGATTACGAGAGAGCAATTTGTCTTGAAAAACTCCGTCTTACGTATGACTTCTGCAACTTGCCTGATAGGGATCAGCTTGAAGCTATCAACTTCTCCATCTGATATTCAGTGATCACAGAAGGTGAACAGGGCACCCATAGAACATAACAAACAGCAGTAAAATTGAAGAAGATGAAAGGCTTACCTTCATTATTAGGTATGAAATCTTTTGGAAGTTTTAGATCATAACAGAATAGAACATCTCTCTTGTATCTATACTCATCAATGTCCATATATGAAACAGCACCAACAGGTATGGCTCTGTGAAAGCAGCAATCAGAATTAGACAGAGAGAAAGTGTACTACTTATTTGAAACGTGTGATTCCTGCTTATGGTTGGAAAGAGTAAACTAGTACACACACCTAATAAACATGTTGAGTATAGGCAGAAAATAATCAATTAACTGGCCATTCTAAAGGAAAATAAAAATTCTGCACTAGAGGAGTGGAGGGGGAATGTTTGGTATGAGGTTAGTAACTTACTTGACAGAGATCGATCTAGGTATTCCTGCTTCCTCTTCACATTCCTTGATGAGATTCTCCTTACAATCAATACCGTGCGGCTGTGACAGTAGCAATCAACTCAGAAACTTGATGATAATGCATTGAATTAAAGGAAACATTTAATAGTAAATGGATCTTATTAGCCGACATTGATTTGTTCAGTTCCTAACCAGAGGAAAAATTATTCAAACACAAGGTAATAGTGATCTTGAGAATAATGTTTATGCTCAGAACAGAAACAAATGAAGCTACAAACCAGTCCTCCTGCAACTAGATGATCAAGCATTCCAGGATATGTTTGTTTCGTGTCACTTCTCTTTCCTACCCACAGGTGCTTCTGCCCATCCGCCTCAACATAGCCATTCATATGGACTCCATAAGCCTAATCTTTGAAGAGAAAAGAAAGGGGTTAAAACAAGAGCTTTGGGAATTAAGATATCAAAATACAGGTTAAAGATGAAAAGTTATGACAAGAAGAACTTTGAGATATAAACTGGATTATCAACTAGAAAGCCTGTTGAAAAACAAATATTGAATAGTTGTGTCAAATTTGCTCGAAGACAAATCAATCACCAATTAATTTCAATATGATCCCAACACAATATTGCAAATTGGTAATTTTCAATTCCACAAAACTAAACCAAGTTCAATTTTCAATTACAATTTAGATATGAATAATAGTTGACCGGTTTGCTTAAAAGCTTTTATCATGAAATTTATTTGGCAAAAAATAGTTTACAAACATGGAACAAGGAGGAAATCGGTTATCTCACAAAATGATAAATTGTGGCTAAGCATGCTTAGAAGAATAGAAATAACACTCAAAACTGTGATAAAAGCACAAGGCCAGGGTAGAATTCAGTGTACACTCAGCTAAATTCAAACATTTGCAGTAACTACAAAAAAAAATTTAGAAAACAAGTCTTGTAATAAAGTACCCAGAAATATCTTCGTGTACCTTTATGCCAAAATAAGGAGCTGCTGCACGCTCCAATGAAAAGAAAATGGGCGCACCAAATGATGATGTCACAGGGTAAAGCTGGTAAAACATGGACAAGAAACACAGGTTAGGTACCTGGCATGGAAGGCATAGAAGAATGACAAAACATAACATATTCTACAAATTTGATACCTCGTTCCGTATACCTGGAATCCTCTCCTCTCCCAAATTCTCTACTACATATCCAACTGCTCTGGTTCTTTCCTCGGCTGTCTTCAGAATTGGATGCAAAGAAACAAAGTCACCATTGGGGCCTCCATTGTACTTATCTTTGGGGAAAACAAACACGTCGCCAAAGCCCCTCAAATGCTTCACAAACCTGAACCAATTTGAAGTTTAACCAATAAACCTGCAACTATGATTAGCTAAGGTGCAGGCGCAGCAGTTCATGTCATGAAAATAAATCACAACAACAAGCCTTATCCCACTGGGTGGGATCAGCTGCATGGATCAGCCAGACCCAACAAGTTTAATCAATGAGACATTCACAAATAACTAAGCAAGAGATGACACAAGAATTACTAGGAAATAAAGATATAGAATTGAAGTAAATTTACCCGTTGTGAATGAATCCAACAATGTGGTCCTCGACGACAAACGGAAGGAACTCAGATTGTTTCTCCTATAAGGAAGATCAATGTCAGCAACACAGACTATGATTCAACTCAATTCTGCTAGGGCCAGTCACGGCACCAACGCAGTTGAATTGACAGAAATTAAAACAAATGTATCCTACAATCTAAAATCACGTTAAAATACCCGCTATCATGAATTAAGTTAACTTTTCACATATCTGGTCTCATGTATGGTCTATAATTGATTTTACGATAAAACTACTTAATACTAAATTTTATACGAACATGTAATGCTTCACCCCAAAATCAATTCTATTAAAAAACAATATTGTTAAATCAATAACACTCAAACCAAGTTCGCAAAGGCTCACCCACCCACGCTTAAAATTAGCCAGAACCATAATTCAAAAACAAAAAAGAAAATAATTTTACGGTAAAATAGAGTGCATGATGCACAAACACACAATTGGGTGTCTCAATATATGAAATTTGCTCCATTCATTCACAGTTTGTGTTTTGTAAGGAAGCAAAGAAAACGGTGAGAAGAGCTTACAGAAGCACGATTGCATAGTTGAACTTTGTTGAAGAATCCTTGGAGATAGCGAGAGCGGTCTTGTGTGTCAGTTTGAGATTCAGACACGCAAATGACATCGTCCCATGTGAATGAGAATGTGGCAGAAGAAGAAAAAGAAGAGGCCAAGCTGAAGTTGATGGCAGTTGTGGAGGGAAAAGGGTGAGAGGGAAGAATTGAAGAGAAGGGTCGTGACCTGATGTTGCTCAAAGTAGCAAATTTGCTCATGCAGCAAGGTGCTCCCATTGCTGTCTCTGGTTTATTCAACAGCACAGAAGTTAAGGTTTCTATGTCATGACATGATCATCGAAAGAGTGAAGGCTCTGTTTTTTCTGAGTCAATTTAGGCCTCGTTTGACTCAGGCCCAGCTTTTTTATGGGCCAGATATTTAAAATCTCTTTCTTTTGATGGATCGTTCCATACAATGATTAATATATTATTGACCAAAATAAAGAAAGACTATATTTTAGTTTTTGTATTATGTGTTCATTCGTATGCTTTATTATTGATTAAGAGAAATGTTTTTAAAATTAGACTGATGATTAAATTGGTGAAAGCATAAATTCAGAATATTCAATTGAATATAATATAATAAATATATAATGAGTTTATTAGTAACATATTTAAAAAAATAATAAATGTTATTGTAATAATTACTTTAAATTATGATAAAAATTATAAATATAATATATATTAGAGATGATAAAATAGATAATTATTAAAATAAAATAAATAATTATTATTTAAAAATGATGTAATTAATAAAATAAAATAAAAAGAAAAATTAAAATATATTATATCTTTTATTAAAAAATTATATTAAAAAATTCAATCTATTTTTTTATCAATATTCTAAAAAATTTAACCGATTTTTTCAATTTAATTAAAATTCAATTATTTAAAAATAATTAACCTATTTTTAGTCCAACTCCAATAACACTTATCTTCTTTTATTTTTATATTATTATAATGCTTTCTCTTACATAAATATAATTATATTTTTAGGGAAAAATGCATCTTTTTAAAACAATTTTAAAACTTAAAAACTAATAAATATTTTCATTATTTTTGTAAAAATGAGAAAAGTAAAATAGAAAATCTTATAATATTTTATTATAGTAAAAAAAAAACTTAATTTCTCTAAAAGAACCGTAAATGAAAAAAAAAAGTAATAGAGGGGCGTAGTATTTTATAAAATTTTAGACAAAAATATGGTAACTTTCACATCTTACTTCTCTGTTTAATAATGTAAAAGATATTCTTTTAATTACTTTTAATTTTATGTAGAAGTGTTGTTGGAACTTGGAATTGGAACATTTTTTATTATTGCTTTAATTTTGGAAAGAATAAATATGTTCATTAATCAGAGCAATGAAATTATTCCGTGAATTTAAATTTTCAACCACAATTATAATGATTTTCAACAACATTTTCCATTTAAAATATTTTAGAAACTAAAAAATGTAAAATGTTTTGTTAATCTTAATAAAATAAGTAGTTATAAAAAAATATTTTACTCTTTTTTATTCCTACATAGAAAAAAAGGTATATGTAGACGCTAATTAAATTTAGACTGATAATAAGGGTATACTAAAAAAAAAATTCTTTTTAAACATTGAAAAAAAATTAACATAAAGCGTAGTTATTTAACAAGGTTATAAATACTATAATATTAACATTTCATTTTACCTTTTATCATTTATTTACACTCTTATTTGGTGGTTGATTCTTGTATATTCATTAATTCTAGCTTATTGGCATTTGGTTGATAGAATACCTTCAACTATTTCATCTTGCCTCACAAAGCTTCACTACTTGCTTGTGTCAAATTTCATTTTACATGTGAAAAGAGGACTATTGACACTAATTTGATGGATATATTAAAGAAATAATGAAACAGAGAAGAAGAATATACACTGAAATATTTAGGAGAAGGGAATAGGAAACTTGATACTTCATTGGTCCACAATCAAGACTAGTTTCTGAAGACAATATTATGGAGTAGTAAACAGAGTGAGAGGGCTCCATAATTGTAGAGCTAAAATGGTTATTTACATTCATTGTGCTTGAAAATGGAAGTAGAAAAGCCAAAAGTAAATGATGGAGATAAAAGTCATGTAAAGTCCCTTAACTATGCTACTAGTAAAAGCTTTATCTCTCCTTTTAATGCTATTTTGAATTCCAGTCCAGCTCCTTTAAATTGCAGTTTTATCTTCTCTTCGGATTCGGAGGCATTTGCATACTTAACCCATTTGAATAAATGTAGTACCCTGGCATTTATGATTAGTCAAAATCAAAGTACTGAAAAAGTAACAGAAGGAAAATAAATGTTCGTAAGACAACTTAAGGAAAATAATAATGTGAAACATTATTTCCATTACGCTCACCAGAGGGAAGACTGTTCCTATGTAGTAGTGTTTGTCTCTGGTGGGAGATATGACCAAAATCTGAAAAGGAAGATTAATTTTCGCGCACTGCACAGAGATATCTAACATCAATGGAGGAAAAAACCATGCAGAAAAGGATCCAATTTATGGTCAAAAGTAAATTATGATTAGTTTTTCAATAGTATTGCAGTAATGCAATCTTTTGATTAGGAAATAAAGCTCTACTAAATGGAGGGATGAGATATTATAAGTTCAGATGACTGACCAGATTTTTGTTCTTCAGATGTTCATACAAGTCCAGATTGTTGAAATGCAACATGTGGAAGAAAACATAATCCACGGGTCCACGAGAAATCCTACATTTTAATGTTTTTGAAAGATATGTAAGTTCCTCACCAAAGGAAGTGTTGTTTAAGAAGTAGCAACAACGTTGTTTCAAAAAAATTACGTTATTGTATAGTTCAGAGCTTTCTGTGGCAGATAGAAATCTATCTCTAGCCTACTCGACCACTCGTTAACAAGCCTGCAATAAACAACAAAGGTAGATAATTTTGACGTTAGACATTTGTTTTGTAGTTATACAATTTGATTTGAACAAAAATACCAACTTATAGTTTAGACATGCCTTTTGTTTTATTTACTCAAACCATTTGGAGTCCCTAGTTTACACAAGTGACCTTGTAGAAAATTTTGTTCATTTATTCTTTTATCATTGAATAAGGTCTACCTATATGAACTAAAACTTGTAGGATTGAGAATATATAGAAGGTACACTTACGTTGGGGGTGATGTTACTCTTCTGTGAGCCTGTTTAATGGCAGAAAAAGGAGAAACGTTCAGCTATTCTAGAATGTTGAATGTTAAAAGATTAGAACATGAGCCAATATTGATCTAGTCTAACAAACTAGTTCTAGGCCAGGAAATTGATTGATTCTATCATACCGTTCCTCTCTGAATGTTTTTGCGCTGCCTATGCGTTTTTCCAATCAAAGTTCCCTGCAGACGCATAAGTGAAAATATCATTGTAAACCAAAGATTAATTTCATATATAGAAAGTATGAAATATCTTAGTGTGTGTGTGATTCGCATATTCCAAGATTTCTATTACATATTAAGCGTACGCACAAGGTAGTTTCTTCATTAGTACATAACCTAGAATCAGATATGGATCTAGATGAAACTGGTATAAGTAGTAACAAGTAGGTTCTTTCAATTAATAAAGAACTAGGTTGCCATTTTGTGATAGATAAATTAACATATATAAAATTTACATGGATACTTTTCAAGATTTTGCAATATGTTTTACTTATATGTGGAATAATGAAGCCAATTAATCAACTTACCTCCCATGCTAGCACGAGGTCTTGAGAATTTGTAGCAGATGGTTGCAGAGGCCAAAAATCAGTGGGATTGAATTGAGGTATTGTGGGTGCAGGAGGAACAACAGTTGGTTGAAGCATAGGTCTACCATAGTAATCTATCCCTGCCGCATGGTATGGAAGACGTAGGCGTCTAATGCTGCTGCTGCTACTACGACTAGTAGTGACAGAAGGAAGCATTGGTGGTGAAAAGTAGGGTTGAGCATTGAATGAGTTTCCACCTGAATGAAGGAATATGGCATAGTCAGCTGGTGGAGAAACCCTTGGATCAGCCATACCTACTCCAAATGTTGTGGTCATTGAACAGGTTTGTGAGCTTCCTGCAAGCACACCCTTCCCTCTTTCTTCTTGAACTAATCCTTTTGAAGACCCTTCTCTAGCTGTGGAAGTTGGTGCATTGGAAAAAAACACTGGTGGAGTTGACATGCCAACTGCACTGGTTGAGACATTTGGGACAACTAGGGACAGTGGGTTTACAGTCTCCTGATCAAGCATTTGTTTGATGTTCATAAAAAGCAAATGAAAACAAGTATTGAATAATACCAAATACAAAATAAGAGTAAATAATAACACTTTGAATGACATTGTAATCCTTAAAGGAAAAAATGGAAAAAATCTCCAACTATACTCTACCAATTAAAGGTTAAAAATGAAAAGGCTACACATACAAGTCTAGAATCTGTGGTAGCTTCAGTGATTCTCTCTCCAGTCATCATCATGCTGGCAATTGTGAATAGGTCTTCTGAAAATATCAAAACAGAAGGACACGAAGAGTGTTTCAAATAACTTGGCCCATAATTTCAAAGTTATATTTATGAAGACATTGCAAAAGATGGCAATGTAGCAATAACCTAAACATAGTTGTGAAGATTTATCATCATAAAGATTAATATTAAAATTAAGTTAATAATTTCAGCTTCGTTCGGCAAGATTTATTTTTAACGTGCAATGAATATGAAGCATATAGATGGAAAACAACATGTAATTCTTCATGTCACAAGAATGCTATTCAACAAATAAAATTCGCTATATTTGTGATAAACATCAGTAAATTGTAAGTCAATAAGACATTCAAGCTAGTCAGAAGAGGTAAAGCTTCATGAAAAACAGTGAAATAGGAAAAATGTTATTTTAATAAGAGAAGGATGAAACTGATAAAAATATTTATAAATGCATGTGTTCACAAACACACACAGATAGAGAGAGAGGAAGAGAACCTTGATTGTCGTTGGCAAAATCTCTGATATCAACCGTGGGTGGATCCATTATTCCTTTCCCACGAAGGGCAACATGTGCCTCAGTAAAATTCCTTGCCAATAAAACATGAAACTGACCAATTCTAATATTAGGGATGGGAGTGGTTTCCAGTGGAGAACCATTATCCCCCTACAGAAGAAGGAAAACAAAGTTAAGTACTAACCAAAACATGTATGATCATACTAAATTTGCAACACAACTACTCCTTCACTGTACAACTATAGTCTAGAACCTTAGCTTAGACTCATGAAAAACATTTCATTCAATAGATATCTTAATCAACAAATAAGATATTAGTTAAAGAATGTTAATCATATGAAGATAAACTTTTACCATATTGTATATCACTTCAAAGATTGGATGCTGCACTGGGGATATTATTGAAAGGGAAGTTGCTAGCTGCGTGTAGTAAGATCAGCATAGTCAGTAACAGAAGCCTATTAACTGAAAAAGAAAATGCTAAAAGAGAGTTTCATGACATTACTGGTCCAAACATTTCTGCCACCTCAAAAAAATCAGCATTTAAAGTAACAACTCGTGCCCCAATTGTTCTTCCTTGGAACTCAGGCACAGAGACAGGCATTCTCCTAGGAGTGGGTTCTCTAGCTGCTACAAGAATACAGTGTCTTGTCCCATTATAGTATTCTTCAGTTGTCATGATATTAGATGGCCTTGGAAACATCTGCTTAGGTCCATGATTCACATCACAGATTGTTAATCATTTCTCCATTTTATCGTATAATTGCTTGAAAATCCCATGTATATATAACATAGTTACATTAATAATGGAAAAAGAAGTATGTGTTAACATATATACCGCTAGAGCCTCTGCAAGACCTTGCACCATGGTGTATTGCTTTTCATTATTGCCATTGAAGACTAAGGATGATAAGATAGCTAAAACTTGATTCACCTCTCTTGTCCAATGGATACATTGGACGTCGAACCCTTTACACAAGAAACAAATTTAGGATTTCTGCTTCAATATGACAATTTTTTTGAGGAATGGACCTTTCCTATATGAAGAAAAGAAATGATCCTATACATGATGTGTGTGCTTACTAAAGGAATGAATCAGATAATTTCAAGGCAAAAATAAACCAGTACAAAAAGTTCTTATAAATTGAATTCAACAAAGCATATCTTATCCGAAAGATAATGACATAGATACCTGGATAAGAGGAGGCATTGTACATGATCAGAGCTACCTCACATTCTGGATTATTAGCTCCCTGTAAGCAAATGATGCATGGTAAGGTAAGATGATTTGTGCTGTGGATTGAAAACTAGACTATGTCTGCATATATACCTTCACATGAGAACCCATTAATGCATATTTACAGAAAAAGAGACCATAACATAAAAATAAAATATAGAAATATTATAAATTACCTGGTTTCTTGAGTGGTCAAAGAAGGTCCTGCATTTAAATAGGAGAGCAAAATCAGTTCAGAGTTACAAATAAAATTTGATAAATAAATTAAACCATCCACAATTTCATTCATAAAAACAAGGTTAACTAGTTCACTTTATATTAATGGCGACAAGATAAAATATAAAACAGAAAAAATACTAAGCAAGAAACGAGGTTGGAGTCTAATATTTAGAAATTGTTTTAGTTATTTATTTTTTTAATAAACTGTATTAATTAGTATCATATTTTTTAGAGACTGGGTTTATAATGGACGCGTTAGCATAAATGATTTTATTATAATCATAATAAGTTCAAATTGTTTATTATATAATACTTTTAAAAAATTATGGGAATTATTTCAGTTTAATTTTTAATACATATATATTAAAAACAGCAAATTCATAAAAAAAAAAAAATCTCCTTCGTCTTCTTTTACACTACATTTCCTCCATTGACGTTATAAAGTAATGGTTTTTCCTTATAAAAAACAATAAAAATGACTAAACTTCACTGTGATACTTGAATCCTAGGAAAGGTTTTGCACTAGTTGACAGATCTAGATTCTTAAAAGAAAAAAAAAGCAAGAAATAGTTTCAAACACAAAAAATAATTTTCTTTTTAATCTGTTGAAATATTTCTTCATTTTTCAATTGTTTTTCTCCCCCAAATACAGATCCAGTGGTTTTTTTTTTGTTTTTTTTTTAAATCATCCTTCTATTTATGAAGAGTTATGATTTTTAGTTGTTATTAAAAAAGAAATCTATCAATTGGGCATGTTATATGGATGATGGTTAATATGAAACACATATGATGAAAAATACAACATTGCATGTCCCTTTATATACATATATATGGTATGAAGCATGGTATAAGAGCATGAAGAATTTTGAGACCTGACAATTTTTTCCACACAGTGTGAAAAAATGTTGGGCCAGTAAGGACCTAAGGCTGAGTTCCCATCTACTATTATGTTTAACCATTTCTTAGAAGCCATGGAATTCACTGGATCTGAAATCTACTCAAAGCAAGAGAAATGAAGAATATGCAGAAAAATAGTAGAAACAAATGAGATTGAGGATGAGGAAGATGGAGCAATGTTTGCTTGTTTATATAAGAAAAATTATACGTTCACAAGTCAAAATAATAATAATAATAATAATAATATTATTATTATTATTATTATATTTTTATATTATTTTGGATTGGCAATACTTGCTTGTGAAAATATCACCATCTTTATATATGTTTATCGTATAGTTAAACCTTCATTAATATATAATTAACTTTTTGATATTTTTTTTCATGCATTAATGACACATTAACAAATATTTCTCATATGCCTCGTTGTAAAGAAGCTTAAATTATTTATTGAGTAATAAATGCAAACGTAAGTGCTTCTTTAGTTAATAAAGTTGCAATAAAAATCATTAAGTGTGAAATAAATAGGATTTAATGATGTATTTGTTTAATAGAATAATTTCAAACAATAAAATAAAAGTTGATTTTGCTTTAGATGGTATTTTCAAGAAAAGATATGTTTCAAAGGTGTAGGAATTTAATAAAAAAAATTGAAACAAAATAGATTTTTAGTATTTTAAAAATTAAATTAGTTTTAAAAACTGTTTAGTACCTCGTAAATAATAAATGAATTAATTATGGCGGAATTATTGAGAACTCAATTGACTTATATTTAATTATTAAATTTATCAATAATTTTATAAATAATGTATTTAAAAAATATTTAAATAAAATATTTATCAATTTGTTTATTTAGATTAATTTATTTATTTTTTATATTTTTTAATTAAAATGTTAAATTTAAATTTAATGAAAATATAATAAAATAAATTTTTTAAAATTAATATTAAAATTTTGTTAATTAATTATTTAAAATAATAATAATAATAATAAATAGTTTTATTTATAATGATAAAAAATAATTAATTTAAAATTATTTTATTATAATAAAATAATTATTTATCTAAATAAAAAATATCAAATATTTATGAAATAAATTTATTTTTATTTAATCATTTAATCTAATTATAACTATTAAATTGAATTATGATTATTATTTAAATTAAATAATTTTAAAAAATATTTATTAAAAAATTACTGTAAATAAATATTAGAAAATATTAATAATTATAAGATAATAATAATATTTATAATTATTTTATCATGTAATATTTTTTAAATATAATATTATTAAATCATTTAAATATTTTTATTTTTAAAAATAATAAAAGATCTATTTTATTAAATTTTAGTATAATATTTTAATTAAAAAAATAAGATGGAAATGAAAGAGATAAAAAAAAAGAAAAAAATTATGAACAAAGAGAGCAAGAATTAATGTTCATTAATTTCTTCATTGTAACTTTCACATAAAATTAAAGTTCAAGTATTAAATTTTTTATAACAAAATATTATTTTAATAAGAACATAAATGTTATAGCATTTAATTACTCTATTATTTATAACTACCTTTTTCAATGTTTTTAAAATTGGACACTTATTTAACTGGTTAAGATAAGGATTCAATTCATTTCAATCCAATTTAATAAAATAATTTTATAATATAATAAATATATAATAAATTTAATAGTATTAATATTTTAAAAAAATAATAAAAATTATTATCATATTATAATAAAAATTATAAATATAATATATTAAAAAAGATAAGATAAATATGATGATTAAAATAATTATTATTTAAAATTATCGTAATTAATATAAAATAATATCATAAATAATATATTTTAAAAAATTACTTGAATAAAATTTTTATAAGTTTATTTATCCAACTAATTTTTTTTCATATATAACATTTAATAAAAGAAATAAATTTATTTATTATAATACAGTTGTTGTTTTTTTCTTTCTTTCTTCATTTTCTTATTTTCTTCTCTCATCATTTACTTGTTTTTCCTTTTTTTCTTTTTCTTATTTTTTTCTCACCCCATCTTATTATTCAACTAAAAACAATACATTAAAATTGGATAAGATAAGTCTTTTTTTATTACTGAAAAATAATAATATTTAAATAATTTAGAAATATGGTAATTTAATATATTAATATATTAGAGGATAAATTTGAGATGATACAAATATATTGTTATGTTATAATTATTAAGAAAAAAATGAAATATTTATTTTAAAGTATTAATAAATATTTTTTAAAATTATTAATCTAATTAATTATTATATTGATTTGATAAAAAAAATCAACCGACTGATTCGATTTTGTCCCGTTTAATTAAAGTTCAACTATTTAAAAATAGTACATCAGTTTCAATTTCGAATTTTGGTTCAATTGATTAATCTGACGGATCTGTCCGATTTTCAAAACAATGATATATTCAATTATTTGAAAAAATAAAAAAAGTAATTAATGTAAGAAAATAAGAAAAAAAAAGATTTTTATTGTTTTGTTGGAAGAAAGTAATAAAGAAAAATATCAATTTTCTAATTACATATGAAAAAAATTATGAAAAATATAAAAAAATTATTATATATTCAATATATTATAATTAATTTTTATGTTTTTAATTTTAATTTATAAGTATGATGATTTTTAAGGATATTATTTTAGTGGAATGTAATAACTAATGATTAAAAATCATATGAATAATTTAATATATTATTTAATGTGATATTATTTTATTAATTTAAATTTAAATATTTTAAAAAATATATAATATTTTAATAAAAATCTATAATTATATATAAAGTATATAACATTAAAAAATATATTTGAATTTAAAGTTGTTACTACAAACTAATTTTGTAATTGTAGAAATTTTTTTAATTAATTTATTTTGAAAATATTTTTCTTAAAAAAAAAACAATCTTTTCACTTTATTTTTTTTTCTTTCTTTTTACTTTCTTCGTTCCTATGGAACAAATCCTACATTTTATTTGCCAATTTTTCTTCATACACAAATATTAAGAAATATGATAAATGTTTTTTATCCAAAAAAATGTAAACTAATTAAATTTGATTTTTTTTCTCAATTAAGTGATTTAATTTGAATTTAAAATAAATAACCAAATAAAATATAATATTATAGATTTAAAATGAATAAATAATTAATAAACATGAGCGTATCATAGTAACAACTTATATTAGAGTTTTTAATTATGAAATTCTTTAATTTATTTATAAATATATAAGAATTTTAAAGTTATTCGTACGTCAATAGTTATAATAAATAAGTAAATAATAATATTTTTATTTAATCATTTTTTTATTATAAAATATTTAATAATAATAATAATAATAATAAAATAAAATTCTAAACCCAATTGGAGTAAAAAATATTGATTTTAATTTGGTTCAAAATTTATAATAAATTAAGTTAGAGCCAAACTAAACTATTTTTAATTTTTATATTTAATAAAAGTTTGAACTAAATCAAGTCACCAACATCTTAGTTTTCTATATTATTAATTTTTTTCTCTTCTATGAGTGAATTTAAATCACCTTTATTAATTATCAATAAAAGTATATAACTGATAAACCATAATTAAGACTGTCTTAAACGTTTTAAAAATACAAATAAATACAACACGGTTTTATAAATAACTGCACAAATAAAAAATATACAGAGGTTATGTTACCATAAATGTGCTGTCAGGTTAAAAATTTAATATAAACCCGTTATTGAAACTGTTAATTTTTTTTGGTTTAAATATATAGGTTTTAATATGTTAAATTTTCTATTAGTTATACTCTGTTTTGAAAGAATAAATGAATTGTACACAGTATTTTTATAATGACATCAACTCATAAATGATTATATGTAATATATTTGTTGATTTTCATAATACTGTATTGAAGAAGTTATAACAATTAGGATTTTTATTGATTAATCAATAAACATCTGGTTTAAATATATTTTTATCGGATTTTTGTCTTGATAAATAAATAATATATTTTCACAAATAGATACAAGAACCAATTACAAAAACATTAATATATAAAATACGAGAGCTTATTATTTCATTTTATTAATCATAGATTTATAGTTAAAATTTTAAATTTCTATATAATTTATTTTTAATTTTGTTTTAACCCTTATAAAATAATATTTATAGTATTTCTTTTATTTTGAACTAGTCACTTTAAAAAATATTTGAAACTAAAAATAAAAAATAACAAGATCAAAATCAAAATCAAAATAGGGAAATGAAAATTTAGAAATATTAAGGAAAAAGGAAGTTTGTTTGAAAATCACTTTTTCGTGATGTGCTTATAAGATAACTAAGTAGTTGTGTGAGTAGTTTGTATAAAGTCAAATAATCTATTAAAATAAAGAAGGTAAAAATAATCAATTATGTTAAAACTAAATCTGTATTAATCAATTACATAAATACTTAATTGATTATATGACTTAAAATCATATTTTTATAACATTGTGTTAATAATTGATTATGTATCTAAATCTTTGTTTTAACATAATATATTAATAATTGATTATGTTGGTACCTAATCGATTATATGATTTATTTTCTCGACTATCACTGTACGTAAATAATCGATTAAATATTTTGTTAATCAATTATCCGAGTCAATTACAATATATTTTTATTCCATAAAAGTATGTGGACACTATTAAAGTAATTAGAAAGAACGTCGTGGACATCAAGAAAAATATGTGATTATGTAAAATGCTTAGAATATCAACTCAAATAAGAGTTTATTTGATTATAAGATACAATTCTACAAAGTCTATAAGATGAAATCGTTTTTGTCTTTCTCTTTGTAGATTTTTTATTGTATTTTGATGTATGTGAGGTGAATTATATCAAATTAGCTTGAAAATTATGAGGAGAAACATTTTTCAAATATTGTGATTTGTATTTAGATCTTGATTAAATATTGTTATAGTCAAGATTATCATGTTAGGTTGTAATTTAATTACTAAACAAATTTTAATAAAAACTCCATATTAAGGAAGATGTTTAGTTAAACTGGATGTAAATTCAAAAGAATCGAACCAAGTATAAACTTTTGTGTTTTTTTCTTTCTTTTTTCTTATCTTGATATTATTGTGATTTTAATATTATTCTACTTCTTTTGTATTTGATTATTAGAAAAGGTTATTTAATAATTAATTAAAGTTGAAAAGAATTTAAAAACTCAATTCATTCCACTTTTGAATATGTTTAGACATTCATATTTTTCTAATAAGAAAAAGTTTGATGAAATAAATAAAAAATTACAATTGGAATAAAATATATTTAAGATTAAAAAATTTACACTCCTTGTCTATTAATTATAATTTAAGTTGGATTTTATTTACATTCATTTTTAAGTTAAACATTTTTATTTTTAGGATGATTAATTAAATGTTTACCTTAACAGTATCACGTGAAGAAAATATGTAAGAGTTAGTTACTTATGTATAAATTATAACACATTTTGTATTGTTTTTTAACTAAAATAATTTATTTAAATATAAAAATAATATTATGCTTGATTAATTCTTATGTTCAGATAAATTATTTATTTTGTACACATTTGACTGTATGAGTTATAAAAGCTTTTTTAAAAATAATTATTATAATAATTGCATTTTAGAGTATATAATAGTTCTACTATAAAAAAATCTGATTCTATTTCAGTCGTTAAATATAACAATAAGACTAAAAGCGCATTGCGTCGCTACATTGGTCGTTAACTCAGTTTTTCTTGTAATTTTATATTAAAACCAGTCAACTATTTATAATTATACTAAAAGTAACAATCTACACTGTTATATAAAAGAATATAACAAATTAACATGAAAATCAATAATTAACACAACTAATATTTTTCATAGAAATGGTGAATATTTTGTCTTTCGAAATGGATCTCAACTTCATAGGGAAACGAGCGTCCTCTTACTGCTCTTGAGAACCTTTTGCATGCTTAGATATTTCAGTAAATGTAGCACCCTGTCATTTATTTATCAGTCAAAATCAAAGTACTGAAAAAGGCACAAAAGGTTGCAGCATGTGTGTAGCTATTAGCTAAATGTTCTTAAGACAGAAAGAAAAATAATATTGTGAAACATTATTGAAATTACACTCACCACAGGGAATATTGTTCCTATGTAATAGTGTCTGTCTTTGGTTGGAGAAATAATTAAGGTTTGTGAAGAGAGATTAATTTTCGCACACTGCACAAAGATATCTAACATCAATGGGGGGAAAAACCATGCAGAAAATGGATCCTCTTTATATTATAACAAGATAGAGTAAACAAAGCCCACTTCATGGTCTGAAACAATGCAATTAAATAAAGATGTAGTAAATGACAGATAGCATGTTTGTTTTTGACTCTTGCTGATAAAAAGTATAATGACTGACCAAGTTTTTGTTCTTCAGATGTTCATATAAGTCGAGATTGTTGAAATACGATATGTCTAAGAAAACATAATCTATGGGTCCTCGATAAATCCTGCATTTAAATGTTATTGGAACATACGTAAGATTCCATTCAAAAGGAAGTGTTCATTTGAGAAGTAGCAATAGCATTGTTTCATAAAATTACGTTATCATATAGTTGAGAGTTTTCTGAGGTAAATAGAAGGATATCTCTAGCCTACTCGACCACTCGCTAGTAAGCCTGCAATGAACAACAAAAGTAGATTATTATAACGTGAGACATTACTTTTGTATTTATGAAATTTTATATGAACAAGAATAGTAAATTATTATTCAACTTTTATCTACTCAAAGCCATGGCTTTGTAGCACCAAGTTTTCATTTCGAAAGTGATCTTGTAGAATATTTTGTTCATTATTCTGTTTTTATCATTGAATATTGCCATTTAGATGATATCATATATGAAATTTAAACTTACAGGTTCATAACAATGAACCAAATGGAGATAGTAAGGTTTTCTTAAAAAACTTTGGATTGATAATACATGGAAGGTACACTTACGTCGAGGGTGATGTTACTCTTCTAAGGGCCTGTTTCATGGGTAGAAAGAGGGGAAAAGTTCAGTTTGTTGGTGAAAGAAAGTGGGCAACCAACTTTCTCATTTACACGGAAGAAAAGGGTGGCTGCCAATTTTTATTCAAGCATGAGGTACCCACGAGACATATTTTATGGTAATGCACATTACCAATTTTTGCTATAAATTGGTCTTCTTCCTGCAAGCATAAGCATTTCATCCCACACAAAAATATTACTTCTCTTAGAGAAGAAAGAGTGGCACCAGCGAGAGGCAGAAAAACTAGAGAGTTTTAGTTTAGCTTCTGGGTGTAATTGGGTTGTGAGTTGTGAGTGTTTTGAGAGTGTTTTGTCAACATTTGTGTATTTTTCTTTTCTCCTAGTAAGAGATCTGCAGTAGTCCGGAGACGTAGGCATTATTGGGCGAACTCCGTTATCAATTGGTGTGTATAATTATTCCGCTTTTATTTCACTTTCACAGATCTGACCATATGGGAAGATTCAACATATTTTTCCCAACAACTGGTATCAGAGCCAGGTTGTTAGTTCTGTAATTTTTGTGGTGTTACTATTCATATGAATAGTAAGTTACTATTTCGTGAATAGTGAAAACGTGAATAGTGCAAATTTTGTCGGCGCTACAAATTTGCCCGCAGTCGTGTTCTGAAACACGGTAGCTCACAGGAATTGCGATCCAGCAGATAAGTCAGATAAGAATTGGAGTGATGGCTGCAGACGAAGGAAAAATGAAAATTGAAAGGTTCGACGGTACAGACTTTAGCTTCTGGAAGATGCAGATAGAGGATTATCTGTATCAGAAGAAGATGCATCAACCACTCATAGGGGAGAAGCCAGAAACCATGAAAGAGGAAGAATGGAGTCTCCTTGATAGACAGGCTCTTGGAGTTATTCGTCTAACATTATCCCGTAATGTTGCTTTTAACATTGCGAAAGAAAAGACGACCTCAGATCTCATGAAGGCTCTTTCCAACATGTACGAGAAACCATCAGCCTCAAACAAAGTTCACTTGATGAGGCGATTTTTCAACCTGCGGATGTCAGAAGGTGCTTCGGTGGCAAATCATCTCAATGAACTCAACACTGTAACAACCCAGTTGAGTTCTATTGACATCAAATTCGATGATGAAGTACAAAATTTAATACTTTTGTCTTCCCTACCAGAGAGTTGGAATGCTACGGTCACAACTGTGAGTAGCTCATCGGGAAACAATAAGTTAAGATTTAATGATGTTCAAAATTTGGTTCTCAGCGAAGAGATCCGGCGGAGAGAGTCGGGTGAAGCATCAACCTCTTCATTATTGCATCCAGAGTCAAGAGGAAGAAGTTCAACCAAAGAAATTAGACATGAAAAATCAAAGGACAGGCGGTCCAAGTCCAGAAATCATCGTAGTTCCCACAACTCAAAGTTGATCGAATGTTGGAATTGTGGGAAGACCGGACACTTCAGAAACCAGTGCAAGAGTGCACGGAAGAATCAAGGAGCAAAGGACGAAGCAAACGTTGCCTCCACCTCAGGAAAAGATGAGGCGTTGATATGCTCTCTTGAAGGCGGGGAGGAGTCTTGGGTGTTAGACTCGGAGCATCTTTTCATGCTACCTCACGAAGGAACTGTTGGAGAATTATGTTCCCGAAACCTTGGTAAGGTTTACCTTGGTAATGAACAGTCATGTGAGATTGTAGGCAAAGGTGCGGTAAGGATTAAGCTCGAATGGGTCTGTATGGGAATTGAAAAATGTCGGACATATTTCCGACTCGACAAAGAGCTTAATCTCGATAGAGTCGGTTAGCTAGTGAAGGCTATACGACAATCTTCCACGGTGATGAATGGAAGATCTCAAAAGGTGCGATGACGATTGCTCGAGGCAAAAAGAGTGGAACTCTCTACAAGACTGCAGGAGCATGTCATTTGATTGCAGTTGCAGCAAATAAAATTCCAACATATGGCACCAAAGACTTGGACATATGAGTGAGAAAGGAATGAAGGTCATGCACTCGAGAGGAAAATTACCAAGTCTTCGATCGGTAGATATTGACATGTGTGAAGACTGCATACTTGGAAAGTAGAAGAGAGTCAGCTTTCAGACAAGTAAAAGAACCCCAAAGAAAGAGAAGCTTGAGCTCATCCACTCGATGTTTGGGGTCCAACGACTGTCCCATCCGTTGGTGGGAAGCATTACTTCGTGACTTTCATTGATGATCATTCCAGAAAGGTATGGGTTTACTTTCTGAAATATAAGTCAGAAGTATTTGAAGCTTTCAAGATTTGGAAAGCTATGGTGGAAAATGAGACAGGATTGAATATTAAGAAGCTCAGATCCGAAAATGGTGGTGAATATGTAGACACCGGATTCAAGAAGTTTTGCTATGAGCACGGAATCAAAATGGAGAGAACCGTGCCGGTACGCCTCAACACAATGGTGTAGCTGAGCGTATGAATCGAACGTTGAGCTGAAAGGGCCGAAGCATGCGTGTGCGATCAGGCTTACCAAAGCAGTTTTAGGCGAAGCGATCAACACGACGGCTTACTTGATCAACCGAAGTCGATCGGTACCATTGGAGCACAAGATACCAGAAGAGGTATGGAGCGGAAAAGAGGTAAAACTCTCACATCTTAGAGTTTTTGGCTGTGTAGCATATGCGCATATCGGTGATCAAGGCGAAACAAACTTGATCCAAAATCAAAGAAATGTACTTTCCTTGGTTATGGTGAAGATGAGTTTGGCTACCGCATATGGGACGATGAAAACAAAAATATGATCCGCAGTAGAGACGTAATCTTCAATGAAAGAGTGATGTACAAGGACAGGCATAATACAGGTGCCAGCAACTCAGAAACGAGTGGACCAGTTTATGCAGAAGTGGAAGATATCCCAGAAAGTCCTATAATGAGGAGTCCTCAGCCAGAGGAATCAGTTGAAGAACCTGATGTGCAAGCAGAACCTCCTACTCCAACTCCTGTATTGAGAAGGTCTTCTCGGCCTCATGTGCCTAACAGGAGATACATGGACTACATGTTGGTGACTGATGGAGGGGAGCCTGAAGATTATACGGAAGCTTGTCAAGCCACGGATGCTAGCAAGTGGGAGTTTGCCATGAAAGACGAGATGAAGTCGTTGATCTCAAATCAGACATGGGAACTAGTCAAGTTACCTATGGGAAAGAAAACACTTCACAACAAATGGGTGTATCGAGTGAAGGAAGACCATGATGGTTCTAAGAGATACAAAGTTCGACTGGTCGTCAAAGGATTTCAGCAGAAAGAAGGAGTCGACTACACTGAAATCTTTGCTCCAGTTGTAAAGCTCAATACTATCAGGATTGTGTTAAGTATTGTGGCTAGTGAGGAGCTCTATCTAGAGCAATTAGATGTGAAGACCGCATTTCTTCATGGAGATTTAGATGAGGAGATCTACATGCACCAGCCTGAAGGTTTTTCAGAAGGAAAGAAGAACTTGGTGTGCAGATTGAAGAAGAGTCTGTATGGCCTGAAACAAGCTCCAAGACAAGTGGTATAAGAAGTTCGAAAGCTTCATGCACAAGGAGAGTTTCCGGAAGTGCAACGCTCGATCACTCGTTGGTATAAGTCCAGTTATATCATTTTGCTACTTTATGTTGATGATATGCTAGTAGCAGGTTTAGATATGAATGAGATCATAAACTTAAAGAAGCGAGTTGTCAAAAGAATTTGACATGAAGGACTTAGGCCCAACAAAGAAGATTCTTGGAATGCAAATCACGAGAGATAAGCAAAAAGGAGTTTTGCAGTTATCTCAAGCGGAGTACATCAACCGTGTTTTGCAGAGATTCAACATGGACAATGCCAAACCAGTCAATACACCTTTGGCTTGCCATTTTCGTCTATCCAAGGATCAGTCTCCTCAAACAAAGGAAGAAGAAGAGTTAATGGCTAAGATTCCGTATGCTTCAACCATTGGAAGTTTGATGTACGCGATGGTCCGTACGAGGCCAGACATTGGTCATACAGTGGGAGTTGTAAGCGGATTCATGTCAAATCCAGGAAAAGCTCATTGGGAAACGATCAAATGGATTCCGAGGTATCTACGAGGCACAACGAGAAAAATGTCCGTATTTTAGAAAAGGAGATCTAAAATTGCGAGGCTACGTAGATGCGGACTTTGGAGGTGAAGTTGATCATCGAAGAAGCACCACGGGTATGTGTTCACTTGTTGGAACTACAGACTGTTAGTTGGATGTCGCGGATACGGAAGATTGTTGCTTTATCCACTACGGAGGTCGAGTATGTAGCGTGGCAGAAGCCAATAAAGAATTGATATGGCTTTAAGGATTGTTGGCAGAGTTGGGATTCATTCAAGAAAGTAGTGTTTTGCACAGTGATAGTCGAAGTGCAATACATCGGCAAAAAATTCAGCATTTCACTCCAGGACCAAACACATCGACATACGTTATCATTTCATCAGATCTCTACTTGAGGATGAGATGCTAACATTAAAGAAAATTGTGGGAAGCAAGAACCCAGCAGATATGCTAACAAAGGTGGTGACTATTGACAAACTGAAGTTGTGCTCAACTTCAGTTAGCTTACAAGGATAACAGACAAGAGAAGACTACTATTGATCAAGGTGTGAGGACAGATTGAAATCGGTCCTCAAGTGGGAGATTGTTGGTCAAAGAAAGTGGGCAACCAACTTTCTCATTTGCACCGAAAGCACGGAAGAAAAGGGTGGCTGCCAATTTTTTATTCAAGCATGAGGTACCCACGAGACATATTTTATGGTAATGCACAGTACCAATTTTTGCTATAAATTGGTCTTCTTCCTGCAAGCATAAGCATTCCATCCCACACAAAAATATTACTTCTCTTAGAGAAGAAAGAGTGGCACCAGCGAGAGACAGAAAAACTAGAGAGTTTTAGTTTAGCTTCTGGGTGTAATTGGGTTGTGAGTTGTGAGTGTTTTGAGAGTGTTTTGTAAACACTTGTGTATTTTTCTTTTCTCCTAGTAAGAGATCTGTAGTAGTCCAGAGACGTAGGCATTATTGGCCGAACTCCGTTATCAATTGGTGTGTACAATTATTCCGTTTTTATTTCACTTCTGACCATATGGGAAGATTCAACATATTTTTCCCAATACAGTTATTATAGCTAATAGGCATAATTGTTAGAAATTGTTAAAAGATCAGAACGTAAGTCACTGTTGATGTGGTTTAACAAACTAGTTCTGGGCCAAGAAAGATTCTTTTTAGAGATTAATTGATTATGTTATACCTTTCCTCTCTGAGTGTTTGAGCGATTCCTGTGCGTTCTTCCAACCAAAGTTCCCTAGAGACGCATAAGAGAAAATGTCATTGTAAACCAAAGATTAATTTTCATCTATGAAGGCATATTGTTTATGTGATCAGCTCACCTGCCAGGCTTGGACGAAGTTTTGAGAATATGTAGAAAATGGTGGAGGAGGCCAAAAATCACTGGGATTAAATTGAGGTGTTATGGGTGCAAGTGGAACCCCAGTGCTTGGTCCAAACACAGGTCTACCATATAGATCAAACCCAGCTACCAGGAATGGAAGACGTGGACGAATACTACTATTACTGGCATAAGGAAGAATTGGTGTTGCTAAGTATGGTTGAGTATTAAATATGTTTCCTCTTGAATGAAGGAACATGGAGTTGTCAGTAGGTGAAGCACCCCTTGGAACAACCATGCCTTCTCCAAATGATGTGCTTATTAAATAGGTTTCTGAGCTGCCTTCAACTACACGCTTGCCTATTTCTTCCTGATCCTCTCCAGTTGTTGAAGTTGGTGTTGTGGATACAACTGCACTGGGTGAGGCGTTTGGGACAGCCAGGGACAGTGGGTTTAGAGACTCCTGATCAAGAATTTGTTTGATATTGATAAAAATCAAATGAAAACTATTAGTATTAATAACAAATAATAGCACTTTTTAATAGACATGTTACTCCTTGAAGGTAAAAAGGAAAGAGATTTCTTGCTATTCCACCTAATAAATTTTAGATATAAAATGGCAACACGTACAAGCATAAAATCTTTGGCAGCTTCAATGATTGGCTCTCCAGTCACCACCATGTTAACAGCTGAGAATAGGTCTTCTGAAAATATCAAACCAAGATGAAAAGAAGGGTGTTTCAAATCACCTGGCACATATTGCTAATGCACGGTAGAAAAACATTATCCATTCCAGAGTTCTCATATTTTAAGCAGAAATTGCCAAAAATGTGTATAGACAAAAAAATTCTCTAATTTATAAGCCAATTTAAGAGACACAAACTAGTCGGAGCAGGTAAAACTTGATAATAAACAATAAAATAGGAAAAATTTACTTTAACAAAAAAAGAGAATGATAAGAGAAGGATAAAATTAATTGACAAATGCATGTACGGACAATAAAGATAAAGGGAGAGAACCTTGATTATCATAAGAAAAATCTATGGGAAGTTTAATAATATCATTTGTCATGTCCATTGATTCTACACTTTCTTTTCTGTCTGCATCCATTCTTCTTTTCCCACGAAGAGCATCATGTGCCTCCTTAAAATTTCTTGACAAGAAAACATTCAATTGGCCAATTCTCATATTAGAGATTGGAGGGTTTGACAGAGGAGAACCATTATTTCCCTATAAAAGAAGGAAAACAAAGTTATGTACTAACCAAAACATATATTAATGAAAGCCTTGGCATAGATTAATGAAAGGGATCACTTCCTTTGGTACTAGTATTATAATAATACTCTAAATGGGACTTTTTGACATGGAACATGCCATTAGATATCTCCTTCAATGGATATCTAAAACCAGCTTAACAAATAAGTTATCAGTGAAAGGATGTTAATTATATGGGAGATAAACTTTTACCATATTGAATATCACTTCAAAGATTGGATGTTGCACTGGAGATATTATTGAAAGGGATGCTGCTAGCTGCGTGTAGTAAGATCAGCATAATCAGTATAACAGAAGGATATCAACTGGAAAAAAAATGTAAGCAGAGTGTTTCATGACATTACTGTGCAAAACATTTCTGCCACCTCGTAAAAATCAGCATTTAAAGTATGTAGTTGTGTGCCAATAGTTCTTCCTTGGTTAATCTGAGGCACAGAGATTGGCATTCTCGTAGGAATGGGGTCTCTAGCTGCTACAAGAATACAATGCCTTCTTCCATTGTAGTATTCCTCAGTCGTCATGATATTAGATGGCCTTGGAAACATCTGTTTAGGGCCATGATTTACATCACACATTGTTAATTATTTCTCCATTTTATTGTATAATTGCTTGAAAATCCCATATATAAGATAGTTATATTAATAATAGAATAAGGAGTAAAAGAAGTATGTGTTAACATATATACCGCTAGAGCCTCTGCAAGACCTTGTACCATGGTGCGTTGATTTTCATCATTCCCATTGAAGACTAAGGATGATAACATAGCTAAAAAGTAATTCACCTCTCTTGTCCAATGGATACATTGTAAGTCCAACCCTATAAGGAAAACAAGAACGAAATTGAGTATTATGCTTCAATGTAACAACTTCATTGAGGAATAGGCCTTTCAAATTGTCCTATATATAATGTGTGTGCTCACCAAAGGAATGGATCAAATAATTAACCTAATGTATCATAAAATTAAAGGCAAAGATAAATGAAATACCAAAATCGGAGTTGGCATTATACATGACCAGAGCTACCTCACATTCTACATTATTAGCTCCCTCTAAAATGCATGGTAAGGCAAGATGATTTGTCTTGCAGGATTGAAACTATATACCATCACATGAGAACACATTAATCATGGACTAATATATGATTGTGAATTTGTTATTCCCAGCAAAGTATTGAATAGTTGAAGTTTTGGATGAATGATATGGTGTGCAAAATATTTTTAATTTTTGGTGAAGTTTTTTTATGAATGATATGGAGTGTAGAATAAATTAAAAAAGAAACCTAAAGTTCTAGTTTTGAAATCAATAAATATATGTAAAGTATGTGTATGTTTACACAAAAAAATCATAACATAAAAAATTCAATTAAAATTATAAATTACCTCTTCTCTTGACTCGTTAAAGAAGGTCCTGCATAAATAAATAGGAAAAGAAGTAATTTATACACATACATAGGAGAACAAATTTAGTTCATAGAGCAAGAAATTAAAATTTTAGATTGAGTAAATAAATTAAGCCATGCAGAGTTTCATTCATAAAACAAGGTTAGCTAGTTCACTTTATATAAAAGTTTAATGAGGCTCTCGATTTAAAAAGAGAACAAAAATAGTCAAGGAGACTAACCTTTTAATTAATAATTAATAAAGAAAGGAAATGTTGGTATATATTTGATATGTTGTTTTTTTATTATATAAAAATATAACATTTTCGTAAAATTATTCATATTGCTTCAGCTTAAGTTTTATATATATCATAAAAATAATTCAATTAAACAAAATTAATCAAATATCATCCTTGGCCTTCTTTTAACACAAAAAATCGTGATAAAAGAAAAAATAATTTTATAATTATAAAAATAAGTGATTATCAGTAAAATTATTAATATTTATTAATAAAAATAAAAAGTGTATTTTATCAGTTTTTTAATTTTTAAAAATTAAATAACAAAGAACAAATTTAATAAAACTTTTATTTTTTATTTTTAAAAATTAAAAAAGTCGAAACCTGTTTTTTTTTTTTTTTAAACCCTGATAATGAAGAGTTATAATTTTTACCATGATATTTAAAAATAAATCTATTAGTTGGGTATATATGAATGATGGTTAATATGAAGCATATATGATGAGAATAACAACATAGCATATCCTTTTACATATGATATGCAGCAAGCAAGCAATCATGCATGGTGTATAAGCATCAAGAATATGGAGACCTGACAATATTTTGGAGACAGTCTGAGAAAATGTTGGGCCAATAAGGACTTAAGGCTGAGTTTCCATCAACTACTATGTTTAACCATTTCTTAGTTGCCATTGAATTCTCTGGAACTGAAAACTATACTGAAAACAAGATCAGAGATTGAAGAAGGTGCAGAAAATGGGATTGAGAATGAAGAAGCACTGCTTAGTCCTTTATATAACAACCATGTTCATCACTGAGCTCAACCCTCATTAATATATAATAAATGATTTTTTCCTTTTCTTTAATGCATGGGCACACCTACTAACAATATTTATCATCATTCACAGTTATTTATTATGTTATAATTGCAAACATAATGATTTTGATAACTTATTTGATTTAGTTTTAAAAATCAATTTTAAAAAATTATTTTAAAAAATAAGTTAAAAAAATTATTTGATAACTCTAATTTGAAAACTACTCTAAGGGTTGAAAATTTTAAAAAATACAGTAATAAATTCATAATAATAAAAGTAAATGATGTAATGTAATTATTGGTAAAAAATTGTGTCACTAATCAAAAAATTAAGAGTAAATTTTTACGCGATAAATATTTATGATTAGAACAACCAAAATGTTTATATGATTTTTATAAAATATTAATTATTTCATTAAATTTTAATTATTATTATTATTATTATTATTAAAAAGAAATTAATTTATAATATTTATAATAATATTTACGGTATCAATATATACTCATAACAAGACTTTATTTTTAAAACAATATCATACTAACCATAACTCTTTTTTAGAGAGGAGAATGAATCAAAATATATATTATTTCCTTGTGTTTCTCTTAAATCATACAAGAAAAAATGATAAAAAAATATATAAAAAAATAACTCTTATCTATTTATTTAAAACAATTATGTAGGTAAGATGTACGTTAGTGTATTTTATACCTAAATTTTCTTAAATAATTATAGCTCTAATAGTTAAACTTCAAATATGAATGAAAACATAATTAAATATTTATGATTTATTTATAAACTATTTACTACTCATAAAACTGCTCAGAATATTAATATTTATTTATTAACATTTATTAAACCAATGATATCTTTAAAATGAGTAGTTAACATTTAGGAATAAAAATAACATTTTATTATAAATTTCACATGGTTTAAAATAAGATAAAATTAAAAAAAATTACTTATATAAATAATTATAATCAAGTTTTTTAAAGCATGTTTTTAAAATTAAATTAAATATTAATTTAAGATTTGAAAATTCAATTGGATCCAACTAGATTTAATAAAATAATATTTTATAATATAATAAATATATAATAAGTTTATTATTAATAATAATTTTTATAAAAATATAAAAATTATTGTCATTAAAATAATATTTTTTAAAGAAAAATTACTCAAATAAAATCTATACGTTTAGTGTGCATATATATAGTTTTTATTTTCTCTTATAATTTTTCTTTTCTTTTCAATTTTCTATCTCTTATTTTTTTCTTTCCTTTTCTACTTATTTTCTTAATTAAACTATTAAATTAAAATTAAAAAAAATTAAAATAACTATTTCAAAAACAATATTGAAACTAAAAAAATATTAACTAATATATTTAAGATCCGATGATAATAAATAATTTTATGTACGATGATACAAATAAATAATTTAAAAATATTTTATTATAATAAATAATTAATTATCTAATTAAAAAATATTAAATATTTATAATTATTTTATTTAATATTTTAATCTAGTTATAATTAGAGTGAGTTATGATAATTAAGTATTTTTAAAGAATACTTTAAAATAAATTTTTAGTTTTTTCTTAATAGTTGACATTTTAAATTTATCATATAATTTTTTTCTTATATAATATATTAAATTATAGTATTTCTGGATTATTTAAATATTTTTAATTGAATAATAAGATGAAAGTGAGAGAAGAAAAAAAAAGAAATAAATAAAAAAAGAGAAAAATAAAATACCTGTATTATATTAAACGAATTTATTTCCTCTTATCAAAACTTGTGTACAAATAATAAATAGATATAATTGAGTAAATAAATACAGAAAAAATTTGTTTAAGTAACATATTATTAAAATATATTTAAAAATAAAAATTACTGGAATCTTTCTAAATTTATTTACTATTTACTGTTCATCTGCAACATTAAATAAAATGAAATAAAATTGTCAGATTTTTTTTATCCTTTCTCCCTTTATTTTTTTTCTCTTTCTCATTCTTCTCTCCCTCTATCTTATTATTCAATTAAAAATAAGAGTTTAAAATTTGATAATATAAGTATTTTATTATTATTGAAAAATAAAAATATTTAAATAATCTAAAAATAGTATAATTTAATATATTATATTTTAAAAAATATTATATAATAAATTTGAGATATTACAAATATTGTTTCTATATTATAATTATTAAAAAAATAAAAAATATTTTTTAATAAGTATTTTTTAAAATTTCTTAATCTAATTAATTATCATAACTCAATATTATTATAATTAAATGCAATTATTATATTAAAAATACATTTAATTTATAAATATTTAATATTTTTTAATTAGATGAAGAATTATGTATTATAATAAAATAATTTTAAATTAATTATTTACATCGTTATAAATAAAATTATTCATTGTAATCATAATTTTAAATAAATAATTAGTATTTTTTTAGTTTTAATATTATTTTTAAATTATATTTTTTAATATATTTTTATTAAATTTTAACATAGTAGTTCAATGAAGAGAATAAATAAAAAGGAGTGACACACAAAAGAAGATAAAAATAGAAAAAAGATAAAAATAAGATGAATGCATAAAGAGAAAAATAAAAAATATAATTAAAAAAATTACATATAAACAATAAACAAAATATATTTAGTTAAATAAATTTATCTATCTAAATAATTTTTTATTATTATTAAGATTCATTGAACTAGTATCATGATTACTATAAGTTATAATTAAAATTATAAATATAAAATATATTAAAAGATTAAATAATAAAATAATAAAATAAATATTATTTAAATTTTATATAATTAATATGAGATAAAAAAATAAAATATATTATATATTTTCTAAAAAATTATATTAAAAAAATATTTTAAATATTTCTTTTATCTAAATCAATTCCATCCAAAAATCCAATCAATTTTACCCATTTTATTTTAGTTTTACACAAATTATTTAAAACGAGATTATTTGAATCAATAATAAAATATTTATTTTTATTAATCACTCCTGTAACATCAATTAAACTTTTAAATTATAATATTAGAGTTTTTTTTAATGGAGTTGTTAGAATTTTTTTATAATATTTATAAATAAAAATATTATTTTATTATAAACTTCACACAAAATTACTAAATATTGGAAAAAGTTATTTATATAAATATTTTTTCAAGGACTGAAGATGTGCTCCATCGTCTTCATTTTGACTCTATGTTGGCTCCTCTCCTCTACCATTCTCCGCATCTTTCGGTGTTCTTCATTCCTTCAGTTTATCTTGTTTTCTGTAGGTTTCAGTTCCAGAGAATTCAATGATATCTAGATAAGAGATAGTTGAACATGGTAGATGACAACTCAGTTTTGTATCCTTGTTGCCCCTTGCTTTCATAATATCTTGCTTCATAATCTCTTAAAGAGATGGTAAGGTTTTAAAACTCTTGCTGCTCACTTATGATGAAGCAAAATTATCATTTATTATTATATATGAGCAGTAAGAATTTTCAAACCTGATTTGAAGATATTCTGAGACAATCAAGGGATCCAACTACGTTTAATCACTTCTTATTTGCAATCATTGAACTCTCCAGAACCGAAAGCTAGGGAAAACAAGAAAAACTGAAGGAATAATTGAAGAGGAAGCGAAAAAATGAGAGGTGATAGTGAATGAGTGAAAATGTAGAAGATGGAGCACTCTTGTCTGTTTGCGTCCTATCCAAACCTAATTCAGATTTCAGAAATATGAAACAAAAAAGGCATTAACCTGAACCAAGTGAACCGGATTTTCGTGAGATCCGGCGGGATCATAGCATGATGTCCTAGTTGAATGCATTTCCAGCACTATCATCAATCCTTTCCAAGTTACCCATGCATTCCCCTTCACGCACTGCGCCGTCGTGACATTCACCACCACCATACCTCATCGATCTCAACCTTTTCCCAATTTTGGCTTCTTCCACTTCTCTCTCACTCATTTAGAGCAATTAGACAAAGAGCGAAAAAGGGTTGATTTTTAGTGGAAGAAAGAAATGGTCATGGATAGTGGTGAGAAGAGAAGGTTCAAGCGAAGGAAGAAGAGAAAGTATGAAAGTATGGGTGCGTTCTCCCGGCATATATATGTTGCGCATGAAAGGCTTGGGCTTGGGCTTTCGTTGCCCTAAATCCAACGACCCAAAATTCACTAGATCCGAACCATTAGATTAAAACGACAAAGCATAAATTGTAGAAAAGAAGGAAACTCACTGTTGAAAAAAAAAACTCAAAATAATTAAATAGTTATTTGTCAATTTGTGTCTTAATAAATTAATTGTCATCGTATTCGTTTCTTTGTTTGTTTATTGTAAAATTCAAAGTGTTGTAGTTTTATTTCATCTTGAGAAAAAGAGAGATTTCCTCGTATATTAGATTTAACATTTTTTTTTTTAATTTCTCTCGTTCACATTATCCATGGCATGTCATAATCATCAAGAGAGATAAACATAAAAAACGTTGATGAGATAAATTATTATATAAATAATTGTATAGGTATAAGATCTCTCTATTTAAACTAAAATAATACTAATAAAGTAATATAAATATAAAACAAGGTTAAAGTCATAGGAATCTAAATGTACCTTTTGATTTATGCATAAAATAAATGATAAATAATCTCTCATAATTTCTCTAATTTTTTATTTTTAATTTACACATATATTAATTTTAATTTTAGCAAAATCAAATTAATTATTTCCTTCTCATTCTCTTCCTTCCTGTGAAGCATTTTTAATAAAAAAAAATATTAAATTAAAAAAAAAACTTTTAAATAAAAAAAATTAATTAAATAAAAGTTTAAAACAATAGAAATTCTGTGATATATTAATAGCCCCTTGGAATGAACTGTAAACCAAGCAAGTTGTTTAAGAAAGAAAGTAACATATTATGAAGCATCACTGCAATCAGTGAGCCTGAGCCCTGAGGAGATCAAATCACAACATCAAATTGTCAAGACAAACACTAGTGAACTACCAACATACATGATAGTAATACAACATTAATCTAGACTCTAATGACTTTGTTCTGATTTCATAATCAGTACAATATTTTACTATATACAATTCAAAACATATTTCAAGGCCTATTTCTCCAAAGATTTGAAGGAAAAGATGACCCTAGAACAGAGCAACTCTATATTCAATCATACATTTGCCATACAGACTCCTGCAAGAAATGGCAGAAGTACTTCAGCAAGCATGAACTGAATAAGATTTTGGTCAATCTAACCACTTGTTGCAATTTGCCCTTTTCTTTTTGACCTTACAACCCTTTGATTCACTTGATGTTTTGGATTAGGATCCACAAGCAGCAAGCATGACATAACAAATGCCAAGAGTTCTTCACGGTGGGAGAAGGTGAAGTCAAGATGTGCATATTCAAACTCATTATATGAAACATCTACCCCAGCACCCTTCATCAATTTATAGTGTCTCTTCACCATTGAAGGTCTTATCACTTTGTCCTTCTGTCCAGCAACAAGATTAACAGGAATGTCTATGAGTCCATAGTGTTCACCCAAGTCCAATGGCACAGGTGAACCATACACGTCCATGTTGGCAGAAGCACTACCATAATCAAACATTCTGAACCTTCCAGAACGCTTCATCTGCGAAAGATGGAGAGCAACACGAAAAGATACTCCTGGCATGTCATTCATGTTGTAGTGTGGTAATCCTAAAACTCCAACCCAGTTTGAGCTGTCCCCACCAACAACATAACTCATTAGAGTTTGAACCAATCCTCCAACTGCAGGTAGGTTATGCAGATCCCGCGCTAGCTTGTTGAGAAGCATTCTAAAAAATCTGGTTGGTATGTAGAAGGCAGGAACAAGAAGAGACAAAACAGGAGCCATTAAAACTAGTAGAAGTTCAGCCATAGAAAAAACCATGTTAGAGTCATCATGAAAACCAGCCGGAGATAGTAAAACCAATCTTGAAAGTCTATGGGGTTTCCCTTCTATCCTTCGAGTAATAACATACATCATCACACCAGCTCCTCCCAAACTATGGCAAATGGCACAAAGCTTGTAAAGTTGATCATCATCAGTTTCCTCCTCTGTGTCAGGTTTAGTAAGCCTCAATTCAGCAGTTTTCACTTCATGGATTTTTTCTATCATGGCAGGAATATCCTTAGTCCCATGCTCATTGATGGAATACCGCCAGTATCTGCGTTACATCAATTCTTGCTTAGATGAATAACATTGCATAAAACAGAAAGCAACATTATATCAGAAACCAAAGTAGAAATCACAGATTATCCAAAATGAAGAAGATAGGAGAAACAATGGAAAGGAAATAATTCCCCTTATTTGGGAGGTAGATTTTTTATCCATGAGTAAACACAAATGTTTCTCTTCAAATAAATAAATTTGGAGGGGGTTGATAACCTCTTTTTGAATCCTTCTATTCCCATTTCATTTTTTTCCCTTCCCTGTTCTTTCCTCTGAAATTTCCAAAAATATTCAAAAGGGTTTGCTCTATGAACTTACTGACGTGATGATATGTTTTTTTTTACATGTTCCCGTGAAACCAAACCACGAAAATTCCCCAGAAATACATCATAACCTGCAGATAGGACAAACCATACATGTTATAATTACAAAAATACGAATTGTTTGTTCAAGTACAGATATTGTCTGTACAAATATAGCATACCTTGATCGTAGGCTGCAAACGCTGGAGAGCCAACAACTCCATTAGATACCCAACTGAAGCCAAGAAGAAAAAAAGGTTGAATATCACTATTATCTTGAGCATATTCCAGAGTTATGCAGTAAATTGACACAAAAAGAATTGAAAACAAAGTCCTAACACGGCCTAAACTAGATTTTTTTTTTATACCCAAGTTTATCTCCAAGAAAGACAAATGAAGGACACACCACAAAGCAGGAAGAAGTTCATGTGGTTTTCCACTCTTCAGGGACATTTGAGGTATATTTTAGGGATAAACTGCAAGCCAAATTCTCCCTTGGGCAAAGAAGACAACACTTCACATCCGTGACTTTAGACAAAAAACTCAATGTTTGTCAGTTCTCACTAACTCTGTGATAAGTGAGAACTACAAGTGATTCATATCCTACCAAGAGTGAGATTCATGAAATAAAAGCTCATATTGTAGTAACAAAAACTTTGTCAAATCCACTACACAAAATTAGCTCTCTGACATCATAACAACACTCAGGCAAAAACATTTGTTCTTCAAAAAACAAGAGCTTTCAACATATATACACTACTCAACTCTTTTAACTCGGGTAAACAAACAACAGAATCAAGTAAGAACTAAGCAAATATAGATATAAAATGACTCACCCCATTGATGAATCCAAAACCCCATGCTGAAGATAAACAGCTTTTCTTGAATCTCGCCTGGGAAGTAAGAACAGGCATTAGACACTACACACTGCATGCTAAGAGACCACCTTTTTTCTTGACATTACAACAACAACCCTAATCATCTCCACTTTACACGTAAATGTTTTTTCCACCTTGTAATCAATTTATAAAAATTAACTTTATTCATAATCATAATATTGTGATACATATTCATGTCTTTCCTCCACAACTCTAGACATGAACTTTTCAAGGTCTCATCCAAAAATTGCTATCTTTCAAGGTCTCATCAGTAAAGAATATTAACAGAAGAAAGACACATTCCTAAATTGTCAATCATGATACAAGTGTTCCATATACTGATGTAATTCACTACACACAATGAAAAAATAGATGATATATCAACACAGGCCAATTAGAATCATAAATGGTGCCTCCTGTATCCATTTATGACTTAAGTGACTCATAATTTATAACAATCTCTAATGCACTCACTTAATTTTCAGAAAATCAAAATAAGTACAAAACTCAAAAGGGATATACAGTTAAATTTACGAAGATCCATATAATTTTTCTCAAGAATGAATATTTTACCTGGGTATTCTTTCCAAAAGAAGAATATATCCATCAGAAGTGATGACACGAATGGCTTCATATGGATACCTGCCAAAGGTAGAATGAGCACTCATGAAGCAGACAATAAAAGATTTCAAAACAAAAAAATAATAAATTATAAATTATAAAGGCAACTACATGATAGACATTACCCAAGGTCCATTATGACATCCTGACATGTCCGAGCATCGGTATTCAGTGGCTGATACTTAACATTTCTCTCAGTCGGTTTTGGGTCATTTTCTCCTAATGTATCTGTATATACAGAGGCCTCCTCAACACTATCATGATCTTCTTTAATGCCACTTTCATGAGATGAAAAGAACCTGAATAATGCCCCAAAAGCTTCTGAAGGGGAAAGAAGAAGATGTGCTGCCTTGTGAACAACATCGAAGACAGCTTCTATAGATAACTCTATGCCTAGATGAAGATCCTGATTAACAAATTAAACTTACTTAGCAATACAAATTTTACATTCCTACAAAATTTATCTGAAGAATACAAATACCACAACACATTGATATAAAGAAATTGTTGCACAACCTCTACAAGTCCTCGTCTCCTATCAGTAGCACGGTGAATAATATGATCCTTGAGGCTCAGCACCCTCTTATGTGCACGTAAATGTGAAGGCCGCTTATTTCCAGTGAACGACATGGCTTTTGACGCCCCATAGTAAATTAACCAGAAAAGATGAAGTGGAATCCACAGCAATAACTTTAAAGGAAATAAAATCCAAAGTAATATATATTGGGTCCAATCCTTCTGATGCCTACTGAATTTGGTAATACCAGCTTCTGAGTTTCTAGAACTATGAGATGCAGGAGATTGAGGGTATTCAAGTATGTCACTATATACTTCTTCACTATCTTCTTCTTCGGATGAGTATTCAAAGCTTGAATTATCAGAATCCATAGAAAGTTCATGTACGAACTGGTTGAAAGAGGAGACGCCACTAGAAAAAAGAAATAAAGGCAAGGACAACAATATTATGGACAAACTAGCCACATTATTAAGCTGTAGAGTAAAGCAATCCATTCCAAAATGAGATAGAATGCATGCTATGAACTCTAAATTTTCAAAGAATCAGAAAGGCAAAATATTAAAAAGAAAAAAGTAGATTGTAAAGTATAAAAATGTATAAGAAATAATAAAATACAGTACAAATTTACAATTTTCTAATAAAATAAGAATAACCCGGAATCACTGATAGACTCATCAAATATCTCACTAAAATAATAACTAAAAGAATATAATTTTTATCCTTGTGTACTAGTTCCTTGGCATCAATTATCAATTATTTTCTAGTCTACTTTGATTTCATATTCTGCCAATTCCCTAGTTACAATATATGCCCTAGATTATTCTTTTGTTTATTCTCAAGTTTTTCCTTCTTCCTTCTTGTCATCAGTTTAAAACTTTGAATCTTTAATTCAGGAAATATAAAGTTATGTCTTTCCCACTTTGATTTTTTTCAATAATACAGTTCCTTGCTACTTGCATTGTTTGTTAATTCTTTTAGTAGCCATGTGCTGTAGGCATGATCCAGTTGACACCAGAATCATGGGAAGGTAAAGGAGTGAAACCTTAGAGCAAGCACAGGTGCACCTTTTCTAAATTACCCCGATGCATGCAACCACTTGGTAAAAATGACACAAAAATCTATAATGGAAAATATAGTATTGGAAAAGAACAACAACAAACAAACTATAATAATTGAACCAGGGGCTCTCAGCATATAAAGTGATTCTATACTACATACATACCAATAGTCTGAGTTCTAACGTAGCAACAGATACAAGTATACAAAATCAACTAAGTAACACTAGAAAATAAGGAAAAAATCCACACAGAAATTACTGATGCTATAATGGAAACTTACTTCTCCATCCAACGTGGAAATCGTGGTCCACGTATAGTTGGCCTGAGTTCCCAACCATGGATACCTTCAAGTATATTAGCTTTCCCAGGTAGGAATGCCAGCAAAAGGGCTGATACTCCGTTGATTAGCCTCACAATATTGTTTAAGGACTCATAAGTAAATGCCTTCACGGACCTGCACTTAAAACCAGATAAACATGCTCATCCTTCGCCTAGTGAAAACTGATTAAGACATTGAAATGGTATTAGGATTCCGAATTCTCTGCCACAAAAAAAAAATCTATTAAACTGATCAACACCTTAAGGCTGAATAAAAGTAACAATAACACAGAATTATTTTCACCAAAACTTTTAGATTAACAATAAAATAACATCTCCATCCTTCCCCGGAAGAAAAAAGTGCTTAAAATTGCTAAAATATCACTGAAGCATAAAAGAAGCAAAAGGACTTCAGCCCGTCCAACAAAAAAATGATGCACATTGAACACTAAAACACAATATCAAACATCCTTGACCAGGAGGATCAGCAGAATTCCAGCCATAGCATCCAGTAAAAACACGTCCTTATCATTGAATCATTTCTTCAAAATACCATCATAATATAATCAAACTCCACGCACGCAAAAATCAAAACAAAGGCAACCCATTTCATTCAAGACATAGATAACCAACAACCATGATAGAATATTCAAACCCATCATAGATAAATCAAATGTCCTTACTCTTTAGTTACAGCAAGAACATGATCAACCAACCGTTGCATCATGGGATTGTGTTTTTTCTTCCAAAGCTCGGTTATTTCTTCAAACCTCTCCAAATCCAAAATACGCGGAAAATCGAGAACTTTAGCGATACCCAGAATCGAATCAAAATGAAAAATGACAAATTGGAAGCGGATATTAGGAACGGATGGTCACGGAAGTTTGAAATCAGTGACTGGCCGGTAATCCGACGAAAGGCTCTAAAATAACACACACCAAATCAGGGAAGCTCTCTGCCCTTCGAGGTCGGTTGTTTCTGCCGGTAGCCACGTGGGCAACTTTGATTAGCGAAAATGTTTATTGTGGCTTTTTGGCTATTACTTTGTCTCTGGATCACGATAACACGTAATGTGTGGGACCCGAGGATTTATGTGGTGCTGCTATATTCACCCTCGTTTTATATGAGAAGATAGGAACCGTTTGATGAGGTTTAATCAGTTATGTGTTCGACGGTTATGAGTGAAGTATAATTAATGATGAGTTACACGTGGATTGTGCGAATAGCTCTTGCTCGAAAGTAAGAGGCACGCGCTGTGCAAACTTTTTAATTTGACGGAAAAAGGTAAATACGCATTCTAAGTTTGCCATTATTACTCCTTTAGGACTTTAATAATCCCATACATATAATTCATTTTAATTTCATACCTATTAAATTTTACAATGGCTATTTTAAAAATCATATCAATTATGTTTTTTTAATGAATTAATTGTGTAATATTTTTAATTAGATTCCATGAATATGAGAAATTGAAGAAACGTGAAAAAGCAACCAGAAATTCGTAGAAAAAAAAGGAAACATATGTACTGAATGGACGGAACTAAATCTAAGAAAAATATAGTCAATTTCGCGTTATGTGAAGTGGTCTTCGTTGGTCCTAAGTTACGTTTTAATTTCCTTTTACCTAATCAAACATTGATCATATGTTTCACGGAAAAACTAGCATAAGAAAATAACGTTTTCACTAACGTTATTCATACGCTGAAAATATCTAAAAAAAATGGAGCAATGGACGGTGTCTTCAATCAATATTATTGTTCTATCCTCGACCAAGTTATTAAAAGTGGTCACTCCCAACTTCTTTAAATGTCATCATACAAAATAATATATATATATATATTATTTTGTATTTAAAAAATATATTTTATTATACTCATAAATTTTAACTTATAAAATATGTTTGTTCTTAAACACAATATTAACTTCTATCAATATAGTTAATAATAGAGTCTCACTCATATGTCTTAGTTTTTAATTGAAATTTATATTTTAATTTGTTCATAAATCTTGTATTATTTAAGAGTTAATATCAAAAATAGTTTATATAAAATCATCATCTCTTAATTCCATTAAGACATTTTTTAGAAATAAAAATGAAATTTTTAAAATAGATAATACCAAAACATAAATATAAAACTAAAATATTCTAAAAATATTATTATTATTGTAACATAAGATCGAAATCCTCTAAAAAAATATATATTATTTTAGACCTATATATGTTATGACAAATAAAAATAAAAATATTAAAAAAAACAATTAATTATGAAAATAAAAATTTATATTTATATTATAAGACATTTATAATTGCATACAAATAAAAAAAAGTACATTTATAACAATCTTTCTTATAAGAATGCAATTTATATATATAAAAAGTTAAAGTTAATAAAGTTTTTGTAAGGAAAGAGAAAAGAAAAAGATCGAGGATTGTCAAAAATTTCACGCGTTTATGCTAGTGGGTCAAATAAAAATTAGACGATATTTACTATTATAAAATGTGGGTCAACTAATTAATATTTGTTTAATAATAATCTATTACATTAACAGATTTAGTTATTTTATATGAAACCATTCTAATTATAAAAAGAAATTTTTAGTTATGTTTGGTTAGGTATAGGAAAGAGAAAAACATAGATAAACAATGTTTATTTTTTTCTGTTTAGTTGGAGAAAAACAATAAATAAGTTGACTTCTATAAATTAATTTTTTATTCCAAGTTTAAGTTTTTTTCTTCTCATTTATTGATTTTCATCCATCCTCTTAACATACTATATAAAATATAAATCATGAAATTAACATTTCCTAGAGAAAAAAAAAATAGCCTTTATATATAATTGGTTTCAATGATACATGTATAATGATGTAAAAAGTAAAATTAAGAACTTATGTTAGCCTCCAATATTAGGGTTAATAATAAATAATACACATTCAAAAAGAAGAGGCAAGAATTGTACACAAAAGTTTAGTGTGGTTATGGGTAGGTGGTTCCATTAATAATTCATTCAAGCAAGCACAGATTGACTTTCCACAAATGACGTAATTAAATATAGATTACATGTTTTTTAAGTGCAACTGTTTGGACCATTGATTTTAAGAAATTAAAAATTTAAAAGTATATCATTTAACCCTATTAATACAATAATTTAAAGAAAAAAAAATTATTTTATTCTTTCTATATAAATATTCTTTTTACCTAAAATGTTACTCATAATGTATACTTTCAAAAGAAATAAACATTTAAAAAGGATTTTTGGGAATAAAAATGTAAAATTTTAAAACAATTTATGGAAATAATTTATAATTCATTAATCAAAAGAAAAAAAATTAAAAGTAAAAATATCAACCCAATATTTCTATAAGGTGTGAAACTTTTAAATCATAGGTCCAATAATGTCAAATAATTTTTTTTTATATCCTATTGATTGCATCAATATTTTAATTTTAATTTCTCTTAATATTAAATCAATAATTATAATTAGATTATTTTTTTTTTGGTTTGATTTATTACACTTTTATCTTTTAAAAATATCTCATTATATTAAAAAAATTATAAAATATTCTTAATTTTTCGACAATTTCATAATATGATAATATGGTGTAAAAGAATCTTTGTTTTACATGTTTAAAAAATTTTTTTTCCTTAAATTTAAAAAAAAATTAACTTTTATTCAATATCAAAGACTAAACTAATATATATTAGAGATAAAAGAAAAGTTAATTTTAAATTAAGAATTAAAAATAAAATATATAAAACTCGGTAAGAAAAAAATAACAATAACATGTTACTTCATCATTTTGATTTATTACTTAAAAATGAAAATATATTTTTTTACTCATTTTTCTATACCACTATCTTTTCATTTTACATTTTCTACTATAAGATGAACTCAACTTTCAGTTTGTGGCTTGAAACAGTGCTTCAAACCATTATTATCAGAAAGCACAATGACCTCAAAATAATTGGCATGTGCACGTGTCACCATACTAACGTGTAAAACCAAATTCAGTGTGCACCTTACAAAATTCTCCAGCAATTTTTTATACCCGCTACATTTCTTTCATCCACCAAAAAAAATCAGTGTGGTAACGACAAAGACAACATTGGATTAATTCTCTCACACTACTGCTACCCTGCTATTGTATAGGTGCTATCTGCTAAGTGTCACCTACCACAAAGAGACTCAAAGAACAGCAATGGAAGCTGCATTAAGCACTGCACTTGCCCTTTCACCCAACCAAGTATTCAATGCATTAAATCCTGGTACTATACCTGTCCACTTTCTTACCATGTTCCAATTTTTTTTTTCATCAGCATGTGTACTAGTTGTTTATATTTATGACATAGTTTCCAAAATAATGCTCCATCATGTATTTCTGTTCTCATACTTACGATATAGTTTTCGTTTAAATAGAAGGGTTCATGCTTTAATTGCAATTAGTTTTGTAATCGCAGGAGATAAAAATTTTGCTTTGAAATATTGCAAAGATCGGAGTGTTGTAATGACAGTGGTAGCCACTGGAATATTAGGAAAAGGTGGAGGGTTGGTGGAGAGGCCAACCATAGAGACAACAAAACCTGGTCGGGAATCTGAATTTGACGTAAGGTAATACCAACGTTAGGAATAGTAGAGCACAATTGAGAGGATTTTAACTCTATATGATTATGCAGAAGAATTGAAGAAACATCTTGAAAATCCATGAGTATGTTTATATATTTTTTTATGAGGTAAAATTAGTTTATGTAACAAGTATTAGTTGGTTCTTAAAAACTAAAATGCTATCAGTTGAAAGTTGAAAACCTTTCATTAGCCTTCTGTGACAAATTAAGCTTTAAGGTGAATTTGGTTCTTCGATTACGACAGTTCTGCTGCTATTTTGAAGCCTCCTGTTATGATGCATTCAAAAATATTTTCTAAGATTAAAAAAGGAATTTTTGAGTAGTCTAATTAAAAAACTGTAACCTCTAGTTCGAGGTCAGAAATTTCCATTGGCAACACTCAACAGAAATTATATTCTGGAATCAGTTCATTTAGCTTGATGCCACAGAGAAAAGGTGTCTTTTCCTCTGTTTGGATTCAACTATTTTATATGAATTCATTCTTGCCCGCCAACCTTTGATCGATTGCATCTTCTTGTTTGCATTTGATTTTATTTTTTGATCCGAGGCCATGGAGAAGCATGGATACAGTGTTTTCATTTGATTTTGTTTCTTATGCATATGTTACTTTCTAATAATATCAAAACCATTTGGAAAACAACAGTTGCTGTCAAGTAGAGACTTGGTCCCATAATTTCCCACTGTTAATTTAAGATGTGCTGTGATAGAGGTTTCTATTATCACTAAGAGTATGGAAGAACTGAACACCACTAATGAAATGAAACAATACTACATATCACATCAATACTACTGTTGGATTTTTGGAACTGATATTGGTGGAAGATGAAATGCCGAAGTTGTGTCAAGAGCAAATGTCCAAACTATGTTGATATGCTTATTCAAGATTTCGTTAGTTGTCTTGTCTGCCATTTTAGTTATGGTTATTTCAATTGGTAACAATTTCACTTTCCATGGGTGGTGCAAATTAAACAGCGTGTTGATAACGAGGGTAGAGTCATTGTTTTAGTTTTATTCTCTGAACATTTTGTTAGTTATCTACTAGATTTTTTGAGATGTAAAATGATATTTTGACAACTCAAATCCATATAACTCCTGTAAACCACTCTACTTTAATATTATAATAATAGTTTTAATTTATTTTTATTTTTATTAAATTATTCAATAGATTATTATATTAATAAAAGTAAGTTGTTTGTAGAGTTGTATGGTTCCTGATTATCAAAATATCATCACTCATAACTGTGGAAACATATTCCATCTTTCTGCATGTGTTTGGTCTAATCTTCGTGGTTCATTCCTGTATCATTTCATCACATATTTGAAACCAAAAGGGAATGATCACATGTTTTCTACCAGGAAATCTAGGAAAACATCCCCACCATACCGAGTTTTGCTGCACAATGACAACTTCAACAAGCGAGAATATGTCGTGCAAGTGTTGATGAAGGTGATACCGGGAATGACAATTGATAATGCAGTTAACATCATGCAGGAGGCACATCATAATGGACTAGCAGTGGTGATCGTTTGTGGTCAAGTGGATGCTGAAGACCACTGCATGCAGTTGAGAGGAAACGGCCTTTTAAGTTCAATCGAGCCAGCTGATGGTGGTGGTTGTTGATACACGTAGAGACCATTGGCATGAGCATGTTTTGGCCTAATAGTTTCACTGGTTGGGTGATATATAGTATAATATATCATACAAGATACATAGTTTCATAATGTTCATCTTTCCAATTTCAATTCCAACCATTGAAGGTGGCTGTATAGAAAAACAATGACTAGTTAAGGAAATGTATATTGTCAATTCGTTAGTACTTGATACATGACATAAATTGCTACCAACTGGTTGCATTATTTGGATTTAGCTTGCTTGCTATACTATCATTAGTCCTACATTTCCATCTTCATTGAAGCAAGCCTCTTACATAAGCAATAGCCACAACATGTAGAGTTGGATGTCTGACAGGGGAATAACAAATGTCTATTATATATTGGTTTAAGATGATTGGTTGATACTCAGGCAAAAATTTAAAGTCAATGAAGCACCACTGGTTATCTAGAATGCTTCATACCTAGAAGAATAAACATCACAGGTAAGCTTTAACTCGCGGTACTAGTGCCATAAAGAGTATTTTAAATAATCAAGTTTGCAGAATTAAAAACAAGCAGATATTGGCTATGTATCCATCTGTACAACATTAGTTACTACTAAGTTAAATCCAGGTTGGTTGGAATCTATGCTTCAGTAGGCACTGAAAAGTAAAAATATATAGCCTGATAAAAGAAAATCTAGGAAACAAAAATAACAATGACATTGACATGCTTTCATGACTTATACAACAACCTCAACAACCAGAACTTTTCTCTTTATGAGTACATAAATTTGACTTGTCCTAGATTCAACAAATTTTCTTGGTATGTTGACATTTTTCAACCTTGTTGGATTCATAATATAACTTGGGCTGGTTCAAAAATGTAGCCCATTGAAGCATATTGGGCCAGAGGCAGTCTGAAGCAAAATCAAACAATGTCCTATTCTAGTATGAATCATATGTTAGGCCTTTATGAACAATTTTGCCTACCAAAATACATTGGACATATCTTAACTGACAAACTTTAATACTTTTAGTTTCATACATTGGAATGGATAATAACATTCTTCATTGTGTAAAGAATTACTTTATTATGTGATCAAATACATTGCATAAGAAAAATTCTATTATTCAAATATTTTAAGTAACAGGTAGATAAAAATAGATACAGTAGTAGTTATGAGTACTTTAGCTATTGAGAACCTAATTCTCAGATTAAAATACTTATATTAAAATAAAATATATTAAATATTTTTTATGAATAAAAATCAATTTATGGAGTTAAATTTTTGAAAAGTTAAATAAGAGAAGTTTTATTAAAATTGACCTTTCTGCATGCACATAAAAACAAAATAAGTGATTTATCTATTTATAATTTACAATATGTATAACCAAACTCTTTTCTCAATTCAATTACTCCATTATCTAAAATATTATTAGTTTTGAAATTAATAAATTTTGTTACATTTTTGTCTTTAAAAAAATATCTTGACATAGTATATATATATTATTTTATACCTCGGTGATGTAATAGAAAAAAAAATTTACGCAGTGGGATAGAACCATTAGGTATATTTCATTTTCTAAACTCATTATCAATAACTCCTTGAACGTACGCAAGCTAAACTAGTTTTTTTTTTCTAAAAAAACATAAAATTTATTAAAAATAAAAAATGCTAAACTAAGTTTTTCCCTAAAATAAAAAGCATAACAATGTAAAAAAAAAAAAAAACATAAAGGTACATTAGCTAACAAACTTTTCTAATGTTAGTTTGACAGCATTAAAATGGATATTTACAGTCTCCTATGATATGAAATGCCCTATTTTATGATCAATTAAATTGCCATAGACATTTCTAAAATTAAGAAAAAAGATTATTGTACAAATGGTTCAACTCAAAGTGAATTAATTAACTGTAAGATAGAAATTGATATGGGTTGTATATTAATTATGAATAAATGCTGTATGTGTATAGACAGGTGAATAATTGAACTTCTAAAAAACTGACATAATACATTAAAAGATCTGTGTTAATTAGATAAACATCATATTCAATTTTTTAAAATTTATGAAAGTCATATGAGGGTAAAAATCTAATATATTTATTAATAAAGAAATTTATCTCTGAGATAAATCTAATAAAGAAATTTAGCTCTAATAAAAATTAATAGAAATACTAATACCTATTTATTAAATGTGTAACAGGGAATAATTATGACTTTGCTTAATTCATCAAACTAAACAACTTTTCTTTAATTAATTCATGATATATTAAATTATTGTACAATTTTAATTTTATGTTAATATGTTTCTTCCATTTGGTTAGGTCAAAACGAGGAAAACATGTGAATGTGTGTGAGTTACCGAGTATGATTGAAGAATCGATTGGAGCATGCATGTATCCAAAACAAAGCACAGGAAACTTGACCCTGCTGCATGCACATAAAAACAAAAATGAGAGATTAAGTATGTATATGTCTATTTGTAATTTATAATAATAATAATGCATAAGATGATGCATTACCAAACTCTTTCCCACTTTAATTTCTCCCATCCACCAACCAACAAATCAATCAATCAATTCTGATGCAATGCAAGCACCTCTTTCTCTGTGCCTCCTCTTCCTTCTCTCAATCCAATAAAGCCAATCCAATCACCCTCTCTTCTTCCACACTCTTCACTCACTCTCACACCCTTTTTTCTCAACTGCACAAAAATGGCTTATTTCCTTCTTTCACTTTGCATAATCTTCACAACCCTCTCTCTCACCTCCTCTCGCACCATCACCCCTCCTTCACACACCACTCTTCTCAACATCTCTTCATCCCTTCACCAAGCCCGCCAGATCCTCTCCTTCAACCCCCAAAAAGTTCTACAACAAGCTTTAACCCAACAAGAAACCCCCATTTCACCCGCTTCCTCTTCCTCTTCCTTCTCTCTTCAACTCCACACAAGGGAAACTCTCTACAATGAGCGACACTCAGATTATAGAACCCTACTTTTGTCCCGACTCGCCCGCGATTCTGCCCGAGTAAACTCGCTCGAGACTAAACTTCAGCTGGCAGTCAACAGCGTCAAAAGATCGGACCTTTACCCAACCCAGACGGAGCTTCAACCGGAAGACCTCTCCACACCGATCTCCTCCGGCACCAGCCAGGGCAGCGGCGAGTACTTCGCACGTATCGGCGTGGGCCAGCCCGCAAAGCCCTTCTACATGGTCCTCGACACAGGCTCCGACGTGAACTGGCTCCAATGCAAACCCTGCTCCGATTGTTACCAACAAGCAGACCCGATATTTGACCCGACAACATCCTCCTCGTACTACCCTTTAACCTGCGACTCACAACAGTGTCAGGACCTCGACATGTCGGCGTGTAGAAACAATAGATGCCTCTACCAAGTTTCCTACGGTGATGGATCGTTCACCGTTGGTGAATACGTCACAGAAACGATGACGTTTGGCGGTTCCGGGTCGGTTAGTCGGGTCTCTATTGGGTGCGGGCACGATAACGAGGGGCTATTCGTTGCATCCGCAGGGCTCATTGGACTTGGTGGTGGACCCTTGTCATTAACCTCCCAAATCAAAGCGACATCGTTTTCGTATTGTTTAGTGGATCGCGACTCAGGGAAATCGTCCACCCTGGAGTTTAACTCGCCTCGACCGGGTGACTCAGTCACCGCGCCATTGCTGAGGAACCAGAAGACGAGCACGTTCTACTACGTGCAGCTAATCGGATTCAGCGTTGGCGGAGAGATAGTGTCCATCCCACCAGACACTTTTGCGGTCGACCAGTCCGGTGTTGGTGGCGTGATCGTTGATTCCGGAACCGCAATAACTCGGTTGCGGACTAAGGCTTACAACTCGATCCGCGACGCATTCAAGAGGATGACTCAGAACCTGCGTCCAGCAGAAGGCGTTGCGCTGTTCGACACATGCTACGACCTTTCCTCTCTGCAATCAGTGCGTGTGCCGACAGTGTCGTTTCACTTCGCCGGCGACAAGACGTGGTCGCTACCGGCAAAGAACTATCTGATTCCGGTGGACGGGGCCGGAACTTATTGTTTCGCGTTTGCGCCAACGTCGTCGTCTCTGTCTATCATAGGGAACGTGCAGCAGCAGGGGACACGTGTCAGTTTCGATATGGCAAACTCTGTAGTGGGGTTCTCTCCCAACAAGTGCTAGGGCATGTAATTTACATATTTAGCCTTATTGTTATTAATGTCATGAAAAAGAAAACAATAATAGTAATCTATGATGATATATGTAGTGGTAGGTATGTATTATTTATTGAAAGCCTTAAGGGTGGGTACCACTCAATTCAATTTGAGAAGGTTTGGGTTTTGGTGCTCTGCCCTTGGATTGTGTGGCATGAGTTGGTGAAATGTATGAAGCTTTGGGGCTGTTTTGGTCTTGAAGAATGGAGTTTAAGGACAATCAATGGTCATTGTTTGATTTCAAATGGTTTGTACTTTGTGGTGTTGGTGTAAAGGCTTGCATGTAGGGCATATGAAGTGAGATCAATTTCACATGGGGTGGTGGGTTAAACTTGTTAAGGACATTTTTATTTGGATAATGAAGGAGATTTGAGGATGCTTGTCTCTCCATCAATTTTTGATTGTTGTGTATATTTCACTTTGGAACTCTTTTGTCTTGAGTCTTTGGTTTGATTTTAATTTAAAATTGAGTATCTGCATGGCCTGTGTTGTGGGAATGAAATGAGAGTGATTGAGGGAAGGCATGGTGTGAAGAGACAGTGAACATTAAATTGTAGGGCAGGGTGTCCGTGATTGTCGCCCAAATAATGCACGGATTCATGGATGGAAGAAGTAAATAGGTTTCTTGTTTTGCTTTAGTTCTTGTCATGTCCTCTTTCAATAGCTGGATTCCACTCTCAATTTCTCTATTTTTTTTTTCTATTCAAGTATTTATCAATTTTAGTAATTATTATAAGTAAAATCAATTCTTTTAGATTACCACTTAACCAAAATAAAATAAAATAAAATAAATGATTTAATTTAAATAAAGTGAGATACAAAATATAAGTATTAATTGATATATATGTTCCTCCCAAAAGTAGATGAAATAAATTAAGGCCTAGAAATTGAAACCTCAAGTATCATAATCATAACCATTGTAAGGGTCCCAGGTAACATCTAAATTAAAAAATATTTAATAGTAAGATTGGTAATATGATTTTCCTATAGTAGTTTTCTGCATATTAATTAAGGCCAAGATTGTTAATTAAAAAAAATGATGATATGATTTAAATTTATCAGTAGAAAATTATGGTATTAAACTACATATACAAACTCCTATGCTAAATAAATGATAAATATTAATGAGATATTTAGAAAAATGTAATGTCCATATGACATGTTCTTAGCATAACTGTGGATGGAAGAAAAAAAGTACGAGAAGAGAAAATTGAAAGCAGTGGGTTGGGACGTTGAAGCATAGTGAAAGCAAAGAAGGGAGTTTCAGTTCTGAGAATCATGGCATTGAAAAAATTGGTTCATTGCAGGTTGGTCAACCACAATTGCTGCATAAAGTAAATGCAATGCAAGTTCCAAAATCTCTTGCTTCATACGTTAAAATGTTGCACGTGTTATGCCACTAATTAATAAATCCTCAAATCATGGACCTTATCCTCCTCCATTGTATTATGGTTCAATCAGACAAAACATCAAAGAAGACTACGAAAGATGTGTCTCTTACTCTTTTTTGTTTTTTGTTTTTTTTTCCAAACTATGTTGTTAGGATAAAGTTTGCACTAATTTTGTTGAATGGTGATGTTTAAATCAGTATCTTCTCTCAAATTTATTTTTCTTTTATCTTTAAGACTTCAATTCAAGATTTTACTTAAAAAAAGAGTGAATCTGATCTATTTTAATTGAAGATTGGTAATTCACTTTATGATGCAAAAATCACTTTATGTAATTTGGGTGCATAATACAAATCTATAAAGTTTAAGAGAGGAAAACTTTTTGTATGTTCACCACTTATTACACATTGGGATCATCCAAAGAGTTACGATCAAGAGTGTGAAAAGGGGGTGTAAGTCAAAAGAGGAAAAAGTACAGTTGATTAAAAAATGATTTCAAAAAGCACTTTATACAAAGAATTTGGGTAATTCAAACAACTATAGGACTGTTGTTCAATAGTATACTATTTTATGTGAACATAGTTGGTCTGTTCAATTCCAAGAAACTATTTGAAGATGACTTGATGTAATGGGCAACTGATTCGTTCAAACATCCAAGTCTTGACGAAGAAAAAGATTGAGCCTTTTTACCTTCAACAAGTTTAAGAAACATTTGGCGTTTTATTTTGCCAAAAATAATTAGCCTAATTTATCAAATGTTTTTTGAAGGAAGTCGACTATTTCCTTTTTCACACAGAATTTAGAGTGTGCACATGATCATTGAAAATAACGAATCATGGTGAACTTGACAGCAAAACTTACAAATATTTCTTTATTTTCTCTGTTATGGTCAAAAAGGAATTGTATAATCGCAATTGAAGATAAGAACTGCCCATAAAATCAATAGAACAGTTACAATGTCGCAGACTTTTTCATCAAATAACACACCAAACTTTCTTTGAAGTATGGCTTCCAGAGCTAACAATCAGAGATGATTTATTTTCTTAAAAAAAGTTACTTCAATTTCCATAAAAATATTATTAACTTCGTCATCAATTATTTCCTGGTCTTCTGGGGCACAATTTTCACTATTGGAAATGGAGTTTAGTTCTTTGAGGTAAGTTTAAAAGACGACCTTGTTTGTTTCTAATTCAACAACTACTCAACTCATGCTATATTTTTTGGCAGAAAAATAATATGCACTGCTTCCACTCAATTCAATTTATTTTAGTTTATTTAGAACCAAAATTCATGTGTCGAGGATCCTTTCGTCAAATCAGACATTTGGACAACAGGAAGAACAAAGACAATAATGCTTCTGTTCTTCGCTTAGCATGAAGCCTGGTCAATGAAAGTGTATTATCAATTGTATATGAACAGCGCAAGGACCATGACATGACACGCCATAGAAAAAACAGAAAAGATGAACGGTGTGGAAAGGGTTTATACATTTCTCTCATCTTTTAAAATTATAATAAAGTTATATTGATTTTTTTTAAAATAATGAAATAGATTAGTTAGCACCAAATATTAAATTTTGCTCAAGGTCTCAATTATGTTAATTATTACTTCTAACATAATCCATACCATACCAATAATATAATTAAAAAATATAAAACATTTTTCACTTACAAAACTTAATGACTTGAGCACTCAAAATCAGAAAGTGAATTTTTACAAAAATTTCTTAAATCTATACCAATTATTTAAGATAAATAACTCATTAAAATGCATGCTCATAATTAATAAGATTGTGTAAGTTAAAATTCGTTAATTTTCAGTCCACAGTTCTTTGGTGGGCCCAAAAAAAATCCTCTATATTTCATTGCAACAGCGTATAGGGTAAAACAACAGTCATATGTACAATACATTTGATATTTGAATATTAACAATATTTTATCATTCTGTCTGCAAAAAAGGACCACTGAAAAGAGGTTGCATTCCAACCACATGCACCATTCAATTTGAGAAATCGATCACTGAAAAAGAAAACTGAGTTGCATATACACTACAGTCCACGTGGAAGATCAACGTTTTTCTCTCCAACAAGGAATTCCTCTGGGCCATTGCTGCAGGAAAAGAGAAGGGTAAGACTGGCTGAAATCTATCTAAGTAGTTATACCAGTGAAATTAGTCATAAGATATTTTACCTAAGATAACTGAGAGCAGACATTCGGTAGAGACAGGTGAAGACCAAGATATGCAATCCAATGGTATAAAAGAATGCGAAAGTTCGGGCATACCTGCAAGTGGATTCTTTATCAATTAACTTGTACAAGACAACCAAGCCAAAGCTACCAATTTCCTTAGATTCAGCTTGAAGATAACGTTTAGACCAACTCTTGCGTATATCAATCAAGAAACCGCAGAAAAGGCTGAGTTGCTAAAATGTGTACATAACATATTTAAGTTCATGCTTTGAAGTGTCCAAAGTCTCAACATAACTGTCAAATTCTGGGATAATGACAAACCCTTTGATTAATAAATCATAGAAGCATTAATCTTTTATATAATGGCCAAACTTGTATAATGTCATCGAACCAGAATCAAATATGGAATTGGGGTAATATATAGTAACCGAGAGGCTGAAGAGTTTGTTAGAATTTCCAGAGCAAGCTGAAATAGAGCAGATGGACCTCACTCAAAAGAAGGATCTCACGAGAGAAGAACCATACGAGACACCATTGGGTTAAAAGAAGAAGCATACGAGACACATTTAGGAAAAGGAGCGAAAGGACAATGAGCAGCACATTGAGTTTAACAAAAAATTAAGTATGCTCAATGAAATAAAAATTTTTCTACCAGCAGATTCCCATGAAACAAGAACATTGGTAGAAAGTCTGTAAGATAAGAATATTGTAAGATATGATTAAATATTAGTTGATATTGTTTGATATTGTTGAGATATTGTTAATCATAATATCAAACAATATCTTCTATTTATCCTATTTGTATTTTGTTACTCTTTTTAGTTGTATCTATTGTCCTATGTGTGATTAAGACACAAGAGAGATTAATCTCAAACCTTATTTTCTCTATATTCAACATGGTATCTAGAGCTCAAGGTTATTTTGAAAATTTTTCGCCTTTTTCCACTGCCACCACTGTTGCAGCTGCCAGAACCGTTGCCAGTCCTTTAAAAACCTAGACTACCTTGTTATCATTTCTCACACCACCTCGCTGCACACAGCATATTGCAGTGTTGTGATTTTGCAGCTTGTCAACCCTAACTTCGTTGTTGCAGCCACGACCGCCATTGCTGTCTGCCGCCGGAGTGACCGTTTTGACCGCCAAGCACGGGGTTTTGCTCGCCTCAACCACACGACCTCCACGGTGGAAATTTCGCTGTGATCGGAGCAGCCACGATCCTTCACGCACCACCCAAAGTCGCATCACCATCTCGCCTTGCCGCCGCGCGTGGCGGCGCGACATCCCTCCCTTCAGGCCGTCACCACTTGTGTCGGACTCGCCTCATTCCCCTCTTCTTGGATCTATTCTCATTGCTCCAATTGGACCTCTTTGATGTTTTAGGGTTTTTCTCTCTCTTCCTCCATGGCATCTTCCACTGCCTCCTCTTTCGACTCTGATAAATATTCCCATGCCCGTGACCAGATTTTGGGTTCCCTTGTTACACCCAATTTTACTCCTACGAGTTCCTCCCTTCTGCGTGTGCCATGCAAAGAGCGTCACAAGTGTAACCATTGTGGCAAGCTATGCCACAAAATTGACAGATGTTATGTTTACATGATTGTACTCCTCGATCTGCTGTCGTTGCTCAGACTGATCTTTCCTCACAATCATCTGTTGTGGATCCTCCTTCATCTACTCCCCCGGAATCAGACAAATTTGTCATCTTCAATGATTTTCTTAAACAGTATGAGTATCGTAAGCCCTGTAGTTCCACTGCTTCTGTTGCACTCACAGGTACATCTTCTGCTGGTCTGACTCAATCTTCTTCTATTGGCCCTTGGGTTCTTGACTCAGGAGCCACAGATCACATTACTGGTAACAAATCCTTATTTTCCTCTTTCTCCTCTCCCCATAATTTACCCTCTGTTACAATGGCTAATGGGTCTACAACTTTAGCTCATGGTGTTGGAACGGTTAACCTTTTTCCTTCCTTATCCATTGATAATGTTTTATATGTATCCGGGTCCCCCTTTAACTTATTATCTATTAGTCGTCTAACTCATTCTCTTGATTGTGTTATCTTTTTCACCAAAACTTTTGTTTGTTTACAAGACCGAAGTTCGAAACAAGTGATTGGCACCGGAGTTACATAGTCTTTATCATCTTCGACCTTCTACATATGTTGACACAGTTATGGAGTCTCCTTCTCTCCTTCATGCTCAGCTTGGTCACCCCAGTTTGACCAAATTACAACAACTTGTTCCCAGCTTATCCCAGTTGTCCAGTTTGGTATGTGAATTTTGTCAATTAGGGAAACATAGTCGTAATTCCTTTCCTCGTACTGTTTCATAGCGTGCTTCATCACCATTTGCCTTAGTTCACTCTGACATTTGGGGACTAAGTCGTGTTAAGTCTAATTTAGGTTTTCAATATTTTGTTACTTTTATTGATGATTACTCCCGATACATTTGGTTATTTTTTAATGAAGAATCGTTCTGAGTTGTTTTCCATATTCCAAACCTTTTATAATGAAATTAAGAATCAATTTGGTGTTTCTATTCAAACCTTCTGGAGTGATAATGGTCGTGAATATCTTTCAAATTCTTTTAAACAATTTATGGCTTCTCATGGCATTCTTCATCAAACTTCTTATGCTTATACACCTCAACAAAATGGGGGGGGCTGAGTACAAGAATAGACACCTTATTGAAACAACTCGCACTTTTTTAATTCATGGTGCGATTCTTCAACATTTTTGGGGTGATGTTATTCTTACTACATGTTATCTTATTAATCATATGCCCTCTTCAGTTTTAGATAACAAAATTCCTCATTCTATTTTATTTCCTCGTTATCCTCTCCATCATTTACTTCTTAAGGCTTTTGGGTCCACATGTTTTGTCCACAATTTTGATCCTGGTCATGATAAGTTATATCCTAGATCACACAAATGTGTTTTTCTAGGATTTACTCGATCACAAAAATGATACAAGTGTTTTTCTCCTTCTCTTAATCACTATTTTGTGTCTGCAAATGTCACATTCAATGAGTTTTCCTTTTACTTTAAGGGTCCTCTTCTACCTGATAAGTCTCCATCTACTACTGTTCACATTCTTGTTATAGTTGATCCTCCTATTGAGCATAATCCACCGTCGGACCCTCCTCCTCCACCACCCCTTCAGGTTTATAGTCGAAGACCTCGTCCACAACAAACACCACATGACTCACTCCCAGTGCCAAATAATTTGTCTCCTCCGGCTCCAACCATTGAGTCTAACCTTCCTATTGCCCTTCGTAAAGGGTATACGTTCTACTCATAATCCTTCTCCACATTATACTGTTTTTAAGTTACCATAGAATTTCTTCACCTTTTTATATCTGCCTCTCGTCTATCTCTTCTGTGTCTATTCCTAAATCAGTCCTTGAAGCCTTAGCCCACCCTGGTTGGGGTCAAGCCATGCTAGATGAACTCAATGCTCTTCAGAATAGTGGAACCTGGGAGCTCGTCTCATTACCATCTGGAAAATCTATTATTGGTTACAGGTAAGTCTTTGCTATCAAAGTTGGTCATGATGGTACTATTGATCGCCTCAAAGCTCGCCTTGTAGCCAAAGGCTATACCCAAATTTTTGCATTGGATTATGGTGATACTTTCTCTCCGGTGGAAAAGATGGCTTTTGTTAGTTTATTCGTCGTCATGACTGCTCTTCAACAATGGTCTCTTTATTAACTGGATGTCAAAAATGTTTTCCTTAGTGGAGATTTGCAAGAAGAAATTTATATGGAGCAACCTCCCGGATTTTTTGTTCAAGGGGAGTCTTCTGGATTGGTATGTCGTATTCGTAAATCTTTATATGGCCTAAAACAGTCTCCTAGGGCCTGGTTTGGCAAATTTAGCAGCGTTGTTCAACAATTTGGCATGACTAGAAGTGAGGTAGACCACTCAGTCTTTTACCGTCACTCAAGTGCTGGATGTGTCTATTTGATAGTGTATGTTGATGACATTGTTCTGATAGGCAGTGACCACCATGATATCTCTCAGATGAAACAACACCTTTGCCACCATTTTCAAACTAAAGATCTTGACAAACTCATATATTTCTTGGGTATTGAGGTGGCACAATCTACCGATGACATTGTTATATCTCAAAGAAAGTATGCATTGGATATTTTGGAGAAAACTGGGTTGATGAATTCAAAGCCTGTTGACACTCTCATGGATCCTAATACCAAACTCCTGCCAAATTAGGGGGAGCCTATGTCAGATCCTGAGCAGTATAGAAATTGGTTGGAAAATTAAATTACCTTACAGTTACTTGTCCTGACATTTCCTTTGCAGTCAGTGTGGTGAGTCAATTCCTCAATTCTCCATGTGAAGATCATTGAAATGCAGTCATCCGTATATTAAAGTACATCAAAGGGTCTCCTGGAAAAGGTTTGTTGTATGGTTCCAATAACCATACAAGAGTTGTTTGCTATTCAGATCTTGATTGGGCAAGATCTCCCTCTGATAGAAGATCTACATTTGGGTATTGTGTCTCCATTAGTGGTAATTTGATATCATGGAAAAGTAAGAAACAAAATGTTGTGGCAAGATCCAGTGCAGAAGTAGAATATAGAGTTATGACCTCAACTGCCTGTGAACTTGTTTGGCTTAAGTAATTGCTTAAAGAGTTACAATTTGGAGATGTCACTTAAATGACACTTTGTGTGACAATCAGGCTACTCTTCATATTAGCTCTAATCCTATCTTTCATGAGAGGTCAAACACATTGAGATTGACTGTCATTTCATTCGGGAAAAGATTATGTCTGGAGACATCAAGACTGAGTTTGTTAACTCAAGTGATCAGTTAGCAGATATTTTTACTAAGTTTTTATGGGGCCTAGAATTGATTATCTTTGTAGCAAGCTTGACACATACGATTTTTATGCTCCAGCTTGAGGGGGAGTGTTAGATATGTTTAAATATTAGTTGATATTGTTGAGATATTGTTAATCACAATATCAAACAATATCTTCTATTTATCCTATTTGTATTTTGTTACTCTTTTTAGATGCATCTCTATTTATTATAAATACATTGCCTTATGTGTGGTTAAGACACGATGGAGATTAATCTCAAACCTTATTTTTTCTATATTCAACAAATACCATTGAGGAAGATATACTATAACATAATAAAAGAAAACATATATAAGGAAGGCTGTGTCAACAAGTAATCAAGGTAACTGTAAAACTGAAACTTTTGGGGCAGTAGATAGAGGCATTGTTTTCTGCAGACACAACTGGCAAGAATGATTGGAGATTCAAAACTATGACAGCTAGCCCTTTTCAAAATTTACTGGTGAAAGAATGAAGACGTAAATATGTTTAAATCACTATTATATAACCGACTTTTTGTTTTAGTACCCAAAAATTTTCCCTTCAAATTGGATTCTTAATAAATTAAAAATTTTGCTTATGTTTTGGATTAAATATTTATTTTGGTTTAAGTCCATAAAATATTTTTAAATTTCTCTTTTGGTTCCTCAATATTTTATTAATCATATCAATCGATATATTTTTCATCATGTAGTGACATAACATGTCAATCCAAGTAACATAAGGGACTTAAAGATCATTGGTCAACATTGTAGATTGTGTGGCCAGCCTGACAACTTAACGGTCATGTGGACAGTAGAACTAACAGGAAAAGGAAGGGACATAAACCAAGATTTTTAATTTATTAGGCATCCAATTTATTGAGGACGTAAAACATATTTAAGCCAAAAATTAATGATGAGTTATGAAATTGCAAGTCAATGTATTAGAAGAATTGAGAATATTTTTTTCTCCATTATTTTGGTATCAAATGGGTTAACAAATAATTTAAGCAAAAGAAAACAGAAGCATTGGAGAATGTCTAAAATATTGCAGAATCATTCAAACATACTTGTTACCAAGGAGAAAACGTCCACTGCTGAGTGTAATTCTGTCCCTGAATCCCAACTCCTTGTATCTTTGATCCCTTTCCTAATTAAATGAAAATAGTTCATAATTAAAACTAAATAGCATTGATAAGAAAACACAACTTTTTCATATTTCTAACCAATCACTTCTTTCATCCAAAATCCCAATCTGCCCTCCCTTTTCTAGGTAAGGTGCAAAATGGGAGACGAAGATCTTTACATAAGGAGAATCCAGTGTTCAATAGCTCCAATAGGCAACAGCAACTATTTAAATGCATATTTAATCAACAAAGTTTAGATTTTTAATCAAGGACACAGGCATCTTTCCTGTACCTAAAGACTAGTCACATACAATTTTTTAATACCAGTAATAATACACCTGAAAACTCGAGTTATTTCATAAACAGAAACAGTTACAAAAAGTTACGTTTGATAACAGCATCAACCTTAAAATAGATAGAAAATTCATTCAAAGATTTTAGTCTTGTTTTAGGCTTTTAGTTATCTTGGACAGAGACACCTCAGTTTCAACATATGCGTATTTAATTAAGGTAGTGAAGCTGTGACGCTTATACAAACTTATAATGCATGCGCCATTTTTTAAAATGCCCTGTATCATTACATTAGCCAAGCTGGGTCACCTTTTTCGAGAATGCAGCAAAAGGATTTATATCATCCTCATATATCTTCTTGTATTTAGATTCGACATCTGACGTGAAACCACTTTCAAGATCTTCAGCATACTAAACAAAAATCACAAACAATCTTATGTTCAGGGCAAAAGGGAAAAATAATCATCTTTAAGAAAGAAACATAATAATGTTGTAAGCACAATTAAAAAACCTTTTTAGAACCCCTCGAAACCACTTTCTCAATATTATAATCTTGTACATAACGAATCTTCCCGTATAGTTTGACATTATCAGCTTTACTCTTTTCCAGTTCAACTGTTAATACCCCAATCTTCTCCTTCAACTGCCTTATTTCCTATTAAAAGTGAAAAATTCACCCAGGTCAACACTTGTTACCCTGCCATATCCATAGTCTAAAATTTGGTTTAAAAAATATTAGTTAGAAATAAAAAAAATAAAAAAAATGAGATAATATTGATTTTACACATACCTCTTCTGTCTCTCGCAAGCGGTTCCTAAATCGATCTCTTTGATTACAAATCACTTTAAGCATTGAGCTCTGATCTTGGTCCAGAGATATTTGCCTTTGGTCCGTATGCTGATGAAAAAAGAGCCAATTTAAGAGTTTTTCAAATCTAATTTTTAAGAGTTTTTCAAATCTAATTTTTAAGAGTTGCTACATACAGAAGAATATTTGGGTGTGCGATTAATCAATCACTACATAATTATCCAGGAAATAATTTTTTAGTTGTTCCCAGCATCTTAATCTTCTAATTGCAATTGTACCTAAAGGCATCATTAAAAAAAAAATATCAAAGAAAATAGATTGCATCATTAAACCAGCTGTCCCAAAGCTTAAGCTGTCAAGAAAAATTTCAGTAATGGGGTACATCCCTTGAAAGCCTGTTGACTTAAAGCACATGTAATGTTCATCTAAATTAGAATGTGAGAATGGGAATGATAAGAATCAATCTATCAATTAATTGGTCAAAAGAAGCTTTCACACCATCCCATGAACTAATTATCCCAAAAGCTACAGTTGGAGAAGGCTTGTGATGAATTTTTCTTATATATCCAGGAGATGCATCTGACATTAGAATTATATTTATCCATTGTTAAGTACACTCAACTCAAATTCACCCAACAAATCACTGATTAAGCTTTTTCGTTAACCTAAAAGAAAACAATAGTTGACACACCATCTATTTCCAATTGTTGAAAGCATGACCCTAAGTTTCTTTGGAAGATTAATCTTTGAAAAGAAATAAAACGCAGAAAGAATGGCAGCACAAGAGAGGAATCTACCTCAGAAGCTTCACCGCCTCCAGCTTCTGAAAGATCCCAATCATCAAGGAAGTTCCCTTTACGATCTTTTGAAATGGAATTATATCCCTGTATCAAAAGGGTTACTAATTGCATTAAATAAATAATAAGCATAAAATTTTATTATAATTCATATATGCATAAACAGACTAACACAGATTAGCAAAAGAGAGGAATTCATATTCTATTCAAAGTGGGGGGATATGTAAAAGAGGTGGTAGAGATAATCATTTAAAACCTTCAATATATCATCTTCCAACTTCTGTATCAATTTTTGTTGTTCATTAACTTTTGTTGTAAGTTCTGCTATCTTCTGCTCAGCTGTTTCCAGTAAAGATGTTTTCTCAGAAAGTGTGACCTGAAAATGTATAACTTCATCTTAATAATATAGGTATTTTGAATTTCCCAGTAACTATTGTTATCATCCTAAAGAACATCCTTCTACATGATATTTTTATTGAGTCCAACACATGAACAATGCTCAAATGAAGGAAGTACAGAGGATCCTTTCCAAACTGGTCTTACTTTCTTCAAAAAAAGCCAGTGATATGTTAGTTGATTATTTATTTCTTACACTCGCATTGCTAAACAAATCCCATTCTTACCTTCATCTGTGTTAGCTCATGTTCCATTTTACGGTTCTTATCAAGAAGAAGAAACTCCATCTTGCTCAGCTCTTCCGCACTTGTGGCCATTTCCCAGTCTTCAGCCTCAATTGAATTATAACCCACTGCCTGCATGTATAGCTCACAAGTTGTTACATAAATAGTGAAGTTACAAGAGCTCACCAAAATGATAAATACAGAGAACAACAAAACCACCTGTAAAATTTTCACTTTCTTTCGCAAATCATCAACTGTTTTTTCAGTTGGCCTTGCTTGAAGTTCTCTCTTCATCTCCTCAAGGGCAGCCTCCTATATTAAGAGAAAGTAATAAAAAAGCAAGTTAGATCCCAAAAAGAATTGAGAGTCTCAAATGCATATATTGTGGGACTTATCCAATATGAAACTAAATAAATTGGATGAAAATATGAGGAAATTCATAAATCACAATAACTAATAATGCATTAAAGTATCATTAATGAGATCTGTTGTAGATTTTAGCGAGCCAAAATATTACCTTTTCATTGAGCATTGCAGTAAGTTTCTTGACATCATTGATGTGTTCATCTCTTTCATTTGATAAGGTTGTTTCAATATTGTGTAGTTCCGTGTTCAATTCAGAAATTTGCTTTTCTTTGGCATTTAAAGAATTCTCAAGTGCACTAGTTGAGTCAAAGCTGTCACTGTAAAAATAAAAACAAGCAATAATCTGAAGAATGTTATCCATTGTAAAAGATAGGAAATTCGAAGGATTTGAGCACTATCAATGAGTGAGTATGCATATATGGATATAGGATCAGATAGACAGAAAACGCAAATAAGGCAAGTAGCTAAGCCCACTGAATAACATTTTGTATGACTAATAGGTTGAGGGATCCAAATAATCACTTCTGTAAACAGAAAGAGATAAACCCAAAAGTGAAGAATGGAGTTTGCTTCACTCACCATGCTCTGAATTTTATCAAGTAAAGAGAGTTTGCTTTACAAGCTTTTAAAGCTGAACAAAATAATTAAATGATAACACATAAATCTAAAGATACCAAATTAAAATGACAAGACTAAAAGAAACAGCAGTATGTATCCAACAACTTCTGGTGTGTTGATTAGCATGTTCAGAGAATTGTGATAATTTCTTCAATATGCACCTTATATTTTATAACAAAGAGGTGCAACTTTCACTTTATTCCAAGAAATAGTAAATTGATGATAAAAATAAAACTGGATTGCTTGATGAAAACATGGTTTTGAACAATTTGAACTGGGGTGGCCTTTAATTATCATGTTTGGAAGAAAGAAGACCAAAGGATCTTTAAAGGAACTGCAGAGCAGAAATGTTACTCAACTTAAAAAGGGATGCTAAAGATGGGTAGTGTAGTTACAATAAATTGCTTTAGTTAAGGTAAAACTTACATACAGTTCTATAGCTACTGTTTTCCAATTAGAACTGGAGTTTCACCTTGTTAATAGATGGAGAAAGGTTTGCATTAAAGAATTATACATGTTACCAAGGTGAAACTCTAGTTCTAATTAGAGAACAGTACAAATCATCACACCCATAGAACTGTATGTAAGTTCTGTCCTTAGTTTAACTGCCAATAAAAGTGTTTCTCTATGTAGAATTTGGAAGTTAGAAACTTGAATGCAGATAATATTGATTTTACAAAAAAAGAAAGTGTAAAGATGACCAACTACTACTTCTTTGTATGTCCGGGTAACAGATTAAGAAGAATAACAACAATGACAACGACAACAATAATAATAATAATATGATAATAATATTTAAATAGAAAACAAAGAGGAACACCATACCTATTCTTAGTTTCAGTATCTTCATTTGCTGTTTGCAACTGAGATCGGAGAACCCCCTGTGTACACACAGAAGTATAACAGGAATAAACAGTAAGTCTGACTGAATATGGAAAAGCATCAGCACTCAGCAGCTTGAGACAATGAAACGCATCCGATTCTCTTCCTCTCTACCCTTAATTGATGCCAAACAAAGAACAACTCCTTTGTTCCCCTCTTCCTTCCCCTCCCATCCAAAGTTTGCATACCAGAGCCTTAGTTATTTTAAATTTGATCATGACCTAAACAGTAATAACCTTATCCTTACATTAAAGACCCAAGAAACTCCTACACAAATACACACTTCCTTCAGTGTAACAATAACACTATATTCGGTTTACAGTCATTGATATCACCCTTTGCAAATAATATAATCTATTTCTTTATGCCTGATGGGAAGAACATTGTAAGTGAGACCCAGAACAGTTTAGGATGTTGAGGGGTAGGTTGTCAATAGAACTTTAAGGTTGATTATAAAGAATATGCTTCAAAAAATGATTTAACAAAGAAATTCTTTTTTTTTTAACTTCCAATAATAACAACAGTTAAACCTCATTCGAAGTGTTGGGAACTGATGTGGTCATGAATGAAGATGCCCAACCCAACAGGCCCAAAAGGATCGTCAAGCAGAAATGTCACTCTGAATATGTTTATTAATGATAAAAGAAGAGTAGTGGACAAATTTGTTAGGACAAATTCTGTTAGAATGAGGCATGGGCTGGTATATAACCATGTACTCTATTATTATGAGATATACTGAATATAATCTGGGAATTCCTTCTGTATTCCCCAACAGGGTCACTACAAGAATCAATTAATAGTTGCATACTCAAGCACAGGTAATTTCACAGGGAATAGTTAAAGAAGGATTTAAAAGTTACGACATCCTCTTGCTGGTTACCAATACTTTTTTTCCTTTTCCCACTTTTGAGTATACAAGGACTCTGATGGGATTCAGAGCACAGTTGTCACAACAGTTAGCTAGAGTTGTTTATTAGTAGTATCAGTTATAGAATTAGTTTATTTATTAGCATAAATAGTAGGATTGAATGAAAGGAGAAAGCATTCAGAAGTGTTGGTATTGGAAAACAGTGCAATAGTTCAAATGTGAAAGCAAAAAAGGGCACATCTTTGTCAATGGCAAACCCTTAGAAGGAGATTTCTCTCATTTTCTGTTCGAATTTCATTCTCCAATAACAGAACCATTCTTGATCTTTCTATCTTTCATTCTATTCTTAAATTTTGTGGGTTTGTGAGACTCCCAGCTAGAAATTAAGATGTATATGAAGTATGAATTGATTGCAGCAGAGACCATCTTTTTAAAGGATAAAAACAACAAAAAGATATAAAACAACAGAGCACCTAATATTGAACAAAATAGAATACAAAACAACTCTGCCACTATCAAACTTATTTTTTATAAAGAGCAATTAGAGCAAAGTTTTTCTTAATAGTTTCTCCAAAAGTTTTCTCTGGGGGTTTTCCCTCCTTACCCTTTTAAATCAGACTGTATTCCATCGGATTCAATTTTAGAAACTCTGTTAGTCAACTCCTCACATTACTTAACCAACATAATCGAGGTTCTGTTCTGTTCTGTCATCTTCTAAAAATAGGTGCTATTCTAAATTTATTTCAAATCATATTTCTGATCTTGTATGTCAGGCATCCACCTCAACATCAATCATCATCACTACACTTAAATAGATATACAGACAGTGGACTATACTACTTCATAACTTCTCAAAAAATAGAGAAAAAGCAGTAAAACTTGAAGAATTTGACCAAACAAAGAAACACAAATACAAATAATCACACTTCAAAAATCAAAATATTCAAAAAAAAGTTTGTAAATTGCACCTTCTCTCTTTCTAAACTAAGAAGCCTTGTTTGTGCGCGCTCCACTTCATCCATCAGAAGACTAACCTCTGATTGTTTAGCTGCCCTCTCTTCCTCTGAAGTTTTAAAGAACACAGGAGAATCAGGGTCTTAAAAACTCTTCATATTCTGATTTAAAGTAATGAAAGAACCAATTTTACAGATTCAAGTCAAGTGTACGGCTACAATTGCAATGGAAACTAGTAGATTACCAGATTGGGCACGAAGTTCAAACAACTGGTTCTGTGCAATCTCATGCAGTTTCTGCATATTAGAAACACTGTCTTTGGCATGCTGCAACTGGTCTTGTAGTGCTTGTTCCCTGCATAGAATAAAGACAACGTAATACTAGGTAAGAAATGCCAAAGCAGAGGACAGTTCTGATACAGTAGTAATATTCAGTCTGTACAGAACAAGAGGGACAAACTAATGGGAACCCAGGAATGTCATATTTGAATGTAGAGAAAGAGGGATAATTCCTAATATCAGAAACAGAACTCACAAACATAGACTCTCCCCCGCTCACAGAAAATAGAAAGCTAATGGAAACACTAAAAAACAGAAAGGAGTAAAAAAAAAGAAAGTCAAGGTCATTCAAGAGACCTTAGCATCCATCCAATCTCAAACTCAGTCCCTACTTGCCACTCCTTTCCCTGTCAGACCTGCTTATACCTCACGTCATTAACAAATTATATTTCTTTCTGCCCACCACCACCTTGACATGTGTGCAGGTAGTACATGGAGCCAGTGTTTATTTGGCTCACGCAGGGTGCTGATCCCATACTTGCCCTACCTTCTTTCAATGGTCCACATTGGCAATGGTAAGAATACTACAAACATATACCTAATGCAGTTGTAGCAAGTACTAAACTGAATAGACAAAAAAAGTTTCCATAGCAGACAACATTGCGAGATACCTTTCTTTCAAAACTTCCATTGTTTTCTGGTTCTCTTCTGCCAGACTTCGTTGTTTAATCTCCACAATTTCTTTCACTTTCTCTTCCATCTAATTCCATAAATTCAAATGAAAAATTAAAAATATGAAAGAAACTAAGTCTCATTTGTATTGAATTTTAAAGATGTCGGGGATTTAGAGAACTCTTATTATTGCAAATGTCATAAATAACAAAAGATCAACACACAAAGGAAGTTATCAATTTGACAGTAGGGAGTTGAATTCAGTTAAGCTAGGATAAGAAACCGGAATGAAACATGCAAATGCATAATATATGCATAAAATGGGCATCAAACATGCAAATGCATCTCAAATTGACAAATTTGCAATTAATGAAAAATTTTCTACTGAAAAATAGGGTACAAAATCGGAAACTTGGTAAGTCCTACTTTGCCACTTTTCTAAGTCCAAGGTTTTATCGAATGCCAAAAATAGATTTAAGTTGTAGGATACACATTAGATAAAACTCATGTAAAGTAATCTTTAGTGAACACTATACTTGTAATTACAATACACCCAAGTTTATTTATTCATCACTATTAAGAAATTAAATTGGAGAAGAAACAAGCATAAAGGATTAGGATGCACAAATTTTTAATATATTTAAAACCATTATTGTGCTTTCACCTAAAAGCTTAAGCTTTTGAGAGTTGTTTCACAACAGAAATTAAAGCAGGTGGTCAAAATAGGATCCTGATAATACACCAGTGCATACAAGATTGGAAACAGGTACCAACATATAAAGCCATCAACAGGTATTTTCCTCAAGAAATGAAAGTAACTGTGACGTAATGTCATCATATACAACAATATCAGAAGCATGAATAACCTGTTGCTCTAATTGCCTATTTCTCTCCTCAAGTCTCCTAATTGTAGCCTGCTGATTTTTCAAGTGAGTTGCCTCTGTTCTGAACTCCTCAAGCTCAACTTTCATTTTCCGGTTTTCAGATTCAAGCTCAGATAACTTGAGATCTTGCTCCTGTACAATGAAAACATATCAGAACATGAACAAGCATACGTAAACATGCACATGGTTTTTCCGTACATGCACAAGGGCATTATAATTTCAATGTAGTAAGCAATAAAAATGGAACTGTTTAGTGCATAATAAATTAATGATGGACACCTAAGTTGGTAATCTTTAAATATACAAACTGAAAATGGCATGGTTGCCAAACTCTCTGAATGTCAAAAGAAAAAAAATTTCTTAATTAAAGCAAAAAAATGGGCAGAACAACAAAAAAGATACTAGAAACAGAATATTGTCTGAACATAGATTTGATGGCAAGGAAAGACCCTTAAATTGCATGCATTCCATCATGGAAGGCCATGCCTAGTGCTCATTGCTAAAAAAAGCATTATTACAGCAGTGTATTTAGATCAGAGAACCATGAACTCATTATCCATAACTAACTCATGCATGTATATGCCATACATCCAAGAACATTACACAAGTTCTTTCACATATGAACAAAAAATTGAAAATAAAACGAACACGTAACGTTAACTAAATCCTAGAACTCACAGCAATTGATGCAAGAACCGGATAAGGATCCGGAGCTTCATAGAGCTTTTGATAGATGTTGAGAAAAGCATTTTCTCCAAACTTGGCTCTCTTAGTAAGATTATCAACCTCTTCCTGGTAGCCCTTAAGCAAGGAATTGAACAAACTTAACTTATCCTCAGGCGAAGCCTTTTTAAAATCTGTAAGCAGCATAATACGTAATTTCTCAGACGCATACATTGAAAACACCAAACAAATAACCAAAAAGATATTCACATAACATGGAAAAAACAGAGTGCAACTATGCTCTTCCAGTTGTTCCAATTTTAGTCAAAACATGCCATAACAGGTAAGTATACATCATCCAAGGTGAACTATGAACTGTGAACTTGATGCTTATATCGAATGTTGGTTTCATAATAAATATCAATGATAATTCTATTAACTATGTTTCTAGCATAATTTGGAAACAGTAACGAAAGCACTAACTGCGCATACCTCTAGTGTTCTCTGCAAGCTTGCGTCTATTTTTCTGACTGTTCTCCTGATTCTCCGCAATTCGAAGCCCTTGCTCATCCAGTACAGATTTCTCCTTCTCTAACTCAAAATCTGAAAAGCGAAGAAACACAAACTGACGAAACAATCGCAATTGAAACAATGCGGCAACGCATCATAGATTAGAGATCATCAAGTCAATTGCCGCATACATCAAGAAAGGTATGAATATTAATGGAAATTTTGAAGAATTAGGGAAACGTTGAAGTGAAGTTTCGGTGGTACCTTTCCAGCAGGCGGAGACGACGGAGATCGGAGAAGCGGAGGGAGGAGTGGTGGATTTGTCCCTCTCGGGTCCGGATCCGGATCCACCTAACGGAGCCTCCATTTTGTGGTGCAGTATGTGAGTTGGTTGAAGAAATTGTATTGTATTTTCTTCTTCTCCTTTTTGTGTCTCGGTTTCGGGTTTTTTATTCGCCTAACCGGAACACTCTTATGCGGTAACGTGAGATCAGAAAAACGGATCTGAATGTGTTGCAAAGTTAATTAAATTAAGTAGTATTATCGTGCTTAATAGCTTTCCTTCATACTTTGTTTGATCAAAGCAAGAAATGGTTTAGCTGGGTTAATATTTTATGTCATTATTTTCAATTTTATCATTATCCATGCATGAGTATTTTTTACATTTACAGGTGCAGTTTTGAAGGAGACAGGTTGTTCGTCGTAATCATTGGGCCGAGTTGGGTTTTGGGAATTGGGCTTAGGGCCCCACACTTTGTGCATTGTTGGGCCATATTATGGACTAATTTCTAGACACATTCTTTCTACCCACCATATTTATTTGAAAAGATAATATCATCCTTAATTTTATAGAATGAGTAATTCGGATGGAAAAATTAAAAAAAAAAAAAAATTTGGATGAATGGATCTGAAAATATATAAACTTTTTAAGTTCTATATTATGAAATGTAGAATATATTTTTATCATTTCAGGAAGATTAATCAAGAAAATTTCCGGAAGTTTTTCGCATATTTCTGAAAAATTGATTGTAGAATATTTTTGAATTTTAAAAAAAAGTCAATCCAGAATATTTTCAAGAAATTCATTCTGCAAAACATCCAGAACAATAAATCTGGAACTTATTTACAGTGTGCCATAAACACTTATGGTCAACAGAAGCATTACATCACAAATTTATTTTACGTAATAAGTAAACGTTTATATTAAAAGTTCCATATACTTGTACTTTTACATTAAAAACAACACATTCATATACTTAATTTTAAAGTAAATCCGCAAAAATACTTCTACTAATGGTTAAGAAGTGCCTCATCATGTCACCACTCGCATTAACAATCAATCACAAGGAACTGGATAGATAAGAACAAATTCTCAAAGATCGGATGCATATTTATCATTAGGGACTGAAAGATTCTAATATACAATAACATTACAAGATGTTCTTCAATATTCTAACAGAATGAGGATAAACCTCCTTGTTAGAGTTGGAGAACATGTGTAACACCCTAACATTCACACTTTAAAATAGAGTCACGGAAATGCTTGTTCAAAACTTAAAAATAACCCTCTAAAGAAATGACAGTGCTATTTTTCTTAAATATGCAGTTCAAGAGAATCAATTGACATAATCTTTAAAACAATCGTATTTCAATCGCCCTCAACATCTAGTCAGCTCAGGACATGAAAATATCTGCGTCAGTGAACTTCAAGCTTTTTTGTCTGACCTCCTTGAACCCCTGACCTCCTTGAACCCGTTAGGCTTCGTTATCTGACCTTCTTGAACCCTAAATGGTTCACAGATCTTCCTCCAGCAGCGGATGGCAATGATCGTGGGTATTACAATCCAAGAGGCATTTGCTCCAATATAGTATGCATAATAATAAAACGTGTTTGCAGAAAAATTATCACCCTCCAAGATTGCTGTAATATAATAAACAGCAGTTCCATATAGCTGACCCAAAGATATGGCAAACTGAAGTATATAACTATATGATTTCCCAGTAGCTATTGCATATCTGTCATCCACATAGAAAATACAAACAGTTAGGAACAAAGAGATAAACTACAAAAACAGAGTTTTATCTCATTGCATGATATTGGAAACATAAATCAGTCAAATGATGGCACTTTACTTCGTTAAAGAAAATTCACGGGTAGCAGTGTCATAGCAACTTAGTCGGATCTTTTGTTCTCTAAATTCAACTTACACTATTAGAAGACTAGCTGGACCCTCCAAAACAGCTGTTATTCCTTCGACAGTAACTATCCCTGCATCCCTTCCTGCATACCTTGAATCCCCTTTGCTATATTCCTTCCCTGTTATTTGTTCATTAAAAAACATCACCAACTCAAATTAGTGTAAAATCCAAATCTAATTTCTAACAATTCTACATTTCTGTTAAATGTTAAAGAAACTCACAAACTTCAGCCAGGTAGAAACCAGTCTTATCCTTGAAAAACTCCGTTGAGAACACAAAATAGCCCTCGAGAATCATATGTGTAAGGCCTGTGAAGGCCCACCAGCACATCAGCACTCTGTCAAGTTTGGTTTTCTTAAAGCGTCCTGAGAAAATACTAAGTCATGTAAACAAAATCCAATGAAAGAAATTCAAATAACGACAATGAAAGCCAAAACAGACCACCTAAACCTTAAACTTGCAACAAATGATACAGTGAGTGGCTGGTGAAGAGCATAATTACAAGAAAAATAAAAATGTAACCTTAAATCACGGCAAGTGAAAGATCGTATAAAGTGTAGTGTGAAGTGATACACTAACTAACTCAGCGTATTTTGTTTTCCCCCAATTTCACTTTCCAAGATATGTTCGCTGATTATGGTTCTCAAATTCTCTAATCAAAATTAGTGTTTCATATCACTAACTTACATTGATTGATGGTGCAATTTTTATTTAATAAAACGAAGATTCAATTGTAAAGCTTCATCAAATTGCATATAAATTGTCCTATCCCGCAAACTACAAATTTGGCTTACAGAATTAAGATTGGAATTATCTTAAAAATCACAGAAGTACGGTTTGACAGTCACTACGGGACAAAGATTGATCAAATGTTAACAATTTCTGGATTGTATTGAAATACAAAACACCAAACCATACTCATGCAAAACCAGACTCATGCAATGTTATCGTAGAGTCACCTCTAATTCAAATTTTTTCATAGTGTGTATTCTCTCAATCACAAAAGAGAAGGAAAAATAAAAGAATACATCTCATATCCTAAATCCTGCATAACCATCCAAATCTTTTAGACCCTCCCACAAGATAGATCTAATCAAATGTTTGACAAATGCAAGTCAAGATTAAAAGACACTGCACATCAGTTAAGAAGCAAGGAAAAGTGGATGAGTTACTTCCACTTACTTGAGAAACTTATTTAGGGTTTCCAATACAGTGTCAAAAGACATTGTTACATTGTATTTATAGATAAAAGAGATACAATAGAAAGGATATGGGCCTCAGCCCAAACCCTTAACCTACTCTAAGGAAAGATAGAAAAACATCATATCTCAACACTCCCCCTCAAGCTGGATCATATAGATTGTATGCACTAAGCTTGGAACAAATAAACTGAATCCTATGCCCTCTCAAGGATTTAGTTAAAATGTCCGCCAGTTGCTCATTGGAGCTTACAAATTCAGTTACAAGTTCCTTAGACACTAACTTTTCTCCAACAAAGTGACAATCAATCTCAATATGTTTTGTTCTTTCATGAAAGACTGGGTTGGAGGCAATATGAAAAACTGCCTGATTATCACAAAACAATTTCATCTGTCCTTTATCACAAAATTTTAATTCTTGAAGGAATTGTTTGATCCACACAAGTTCACATGTAGCAAGTGTCATAGATCTATACTCAACTTCTACACTAGATTGAGCAACAACACATTGCTTTTTACTCTTCCAAGAAATTAAATTCCCTCCAATAAAGATACAATACCCAATAGTAGATCTTTTATCAATGGGACAACCAGCCCAATCTACATCACAATAACCTAGAATTTGAGCGGGTACGACCACCTTGGGTCGTTGTCCGCCATCGGCCACCGTATCAGTTTGGTGCACCTCGAAAAATGTGACTCACCCCTGCAAATCGTTCTTCCGTTAGCTGCCCCACACGCTGTTACGCATAGTCATTCCAGAGGACCGTCTCAGGCATGTGTGTCCCACTCGCTGCCTTCCAGTGACCGGAATCAAGGCCGATCACCTTAGTTCGACTCGCCGACACCCTCTAAGTCCTATGGTGCCCTTATTTTTCTGTTTTGAGAACTTTGGAAGCTCGGTCACGTAAGTACCCTATTGGTTAGGTTTATCTTTCATCTCTGTTTAAGATAAATGATGTCATCTAGTGCTTTTTCTTTTTCTACTACTATAAAAGGTCATCCTCAATGTTCCTATTACAAGAAGATGGAACAAACGCAAGAAAACTACTTCCCATGTTTCTAAGTCTGAAAAACCGCGGATTTTAAAATCTCTAGAGTATCAAGAGTTTTTGAAGTTTAAATCAGAAAAATTAAACAGTCAGGTCTATCTTTTTTCATGCCAGTTTTTTCAACAGCATCCATTTCTCAATATGTGAAAGGTCAAAACCTATGAATTCTTGATTCAGGTGGCTCTGATACCAACTCAGAAACTTATTTAGGGTTTCCTATACATTGTAAAAAGGCACTGTTATAAACTTATTTAGGTTTCCAATAGTGTGAAAAGGCACTATTATATTATATTTATAGATAAAAAAGATACAATAGAGAGATATATGTCCCTCAGCCCAAACCCTTCACCCTAATATAAGGAAAGAGAAAAATACATCATATCTCAACACACATAAAAAAGGGGGAACTTTGAAACGGCAATCACATCTTAAAACTTTCTTTCGGAGTAACTATTCAACAGAGGGGGAAATCTGATTCCATGAGCGTTTGAAAACTCTCAGGAGTTAAGAAATCAAGTCTAAGACGTGAAATCTCTAACCGCTAGTATCTCGGTCAACATTCAAAATCACATTTTGCAGGCGGGACCCAACACAATTGAAAAGATTCAAGCAAGGGGCTTTTAATTTCAGAAAATTGCGACCAATTGTGGTCACAAAAGCCTCACCAAACACACATAGACACAAAAACAAACACCCTATATGCAGTTTCAAAAGTTTCTAGAAACAGGTTTAAAATTACGTTTATGGTGTTCCAAAAGCTAGGAAAAAGTGTTGCAACCTGAGAAGATCCAGACGAGGGTGACGATGAGCAATGAGGAGAAGGCGAAGACGAAGAGAATGTTAGACATGGAAAGGAAGCAGGGAGTGTAATCGGGTAGGTGCAAATCTCGTGGTACATAGGGATGACCCTGCGAGACTTGGGATCGATCCATCTTCTTCTTCCGAATCGATTCTTCTTCGGTTCTTCTTCAATTCTTCTTCTTCTTCTAGTTGTTCTGCAATGTGTACAGAGAGTACCGAGGGTTGACTGGTGAGTTGGAAAGACAGAGTGTGAAAAGTGAGGAGGGATTTGGTTTGTCGATGGATATTTCCATGACCTTTTTTAAACTGCCCAAAATGGATTCTACCCTTTTTTTTTATAATTATCCAAATTAATTGCACCAATTCTACATTATTATTTAAACTTGTGTATGGTATAGAATAAATAATTTTATACAAATAAAAAAATTAGGTAAATAAATATTGTTTTATTAATTAATAATACCTTTATAAATATTTAGAGTTGTTAATGTGTTTTTCTTTGATAATGAGTCACTTTAGCTTGTAGGTTGAAGTTTTCTTATAAATTTAATGAAAAATTATAAGATCAATGTATTAAATAATTAAGATAAAAAACATGTATTGTAATGTTTAATCTATAACATATAGAGTATATTTTTCTTAATTATTTTTTATCTAATAGTTTTTTACAATTTTATTTTTAAAAGTATGATAATAATTGTTATTAAATAAAACAAAATCTCTAAACTATAAAAAATATTACATTCACGACTTTGAATGATATCTTACTATTGAGATGATAAGTACGATTATATCAAAATCTAACTCCATAATAATTTAACTTAATTCTTAAAATATTATGTAATTTTTATATGATTTTTATGAGAATATATATATATATATAGTAAGTTAAAAATAATCTCACAATCTTTAAGAAAATACTCACTTGATCATAAGTTTTTAATTCATAAAAGATTTTGAATCAATAACGTATATTACAATTACACACATTCATTAACGTATTCTTTTAATCATCAATCATATCTAGTTATTTATAAAATTGCACGCATTAAAAAGATTCCATATTAAAAAATAGGGAACGTATCAAAGATCATTACGAATACCAAGATCTCAAATAAATTTTTAATACTCAGATCTATAAACTATGAGGTCATGCCACAAGTAAAATATTAGAAGGTCAAATTTCACCATTAATTAAAAACTGTTGATTTTAACTCTAATGCCAACTAATTACAAGAGGAAAATATTGGAATTTCTTTAATACATTGTCAATAGTTTGATTTTTACTTTATATATAACTATTTAAAATGATAAAAAATAAATAATGATCTTTATATAAACGTTCAACTCAATTAGTCTATTAAAACATATTTTAGGAAAAAAAGAAAAAAAAAGGAAAAGATATGTAAATCATGATCTGTTCTGAAAGATCTGCATAGGGCCATGTGAATCCAAGTCACATGCTTCAAGACATGTGAATGAGGCTTTAGTTGCGGTCGCTGGCATATTATTGAACATTATTTTGATATCAGGATATTCTAGAGAGATTGAATATATGGAGATTTTACCAAATCGACCATGAATATTCATGTAGAAATATTAGACATGAAAAATTACTAAAACAACTTAAATTATATGTTCCAAATTCGATAGACGATAAGTCGGGATAGCTAGCAAATGCTTCCTTCTTGGTAGTGAAAGGCCAAATGTCTCAGTCATGTCAAAATCATTAGGAGTGATGCCAATTGGAAGCTCCCAATCGAAGCAATGCACTAACTGAGCCAAAACAAAGCTAAATGTGGTTAGACCCAAATGTATCCCAGGACATCCTCTGCGACCAGAACCAAATGGTAAAAGTTGGAAGTCATGTCCTCTAATGTCTATGTCACTGTTCACAAATCTCTCTGGGTAGAATGTTTCAGCATTTTCTGACCATACTTTAGGGTCTCGTCCTATAGCCCATGCATTGATCAAAATTCTTGTCTTCTTCTTTATGTAATAGCCATTAATAGTAATATCCTCTAGGGAATCACGAGGCACTAGCAAGGGCCCCGGAGGATATAGCCTTAAAGTCTCTTTCACTACCATGTTCAAAAATGTCAACTTTGACAAGTCACTCTCTTCCACTAACCTATTCATCCCCACTACACTCTCTAACTCTTCTTGAAGTTTCTTCATATCCCTTGGGTGTCTTAGAAGTTCTGACATTGCCCACTCTATTGCCACAGCTGATGTATCAACCGATCCTGCAATCATATCCAATATGATAGCCTTGATGTTAGTTCTATCAATGACATGTTCATGTTCATGTTCATGCTGCTGATCTATGGCTTGGTGCATATGTGATAGAAGTATGTCCACGAAATCCTCAGAGTGCACACTTTTCTTGTGGCTATCAGTAGGATCTTCATGATCTTTGATAATTAGCTCAAACACTTGGTCAAATGCCTTACTAGTTTTCTTGAATTTTCTTTTTAATCCCTGTTATAATAGATTTTGGAAATTATTAAACAGACATAATAAACTTTGCACAGCATTTCACTATTATTACCCTTCATAAAAAGGATATACACAATTTGACTAACGGATGGATAATCAAGTCAAATACACTGTCAAAGCATAATCAAGTTTAAACAGTCATAGATCAAACAAAAAACTGCAGCATGATTATATATTCTTTCCATAATTAACCATTAAAACAATTAGGTAAACAATCCAAAAGATACTAAATCATATTATATATTCTTTAGATTCTAAAAACCTTTCAAGGTAAATTAACCAAAGTACGAAACTGATAGATATTCAATATTTCATAAGAAATACTTAGACAAATTGATGGTATAAGGGATTAAAGCACATCATGTAGTTGAATTTCATACCTGAATATCAAAGATGGCTGCCCAAGGTACATAATCTGCTATATTGAAAACTCCAGTCAAATGCAGAGCCTGACGAGTAAGCCCTTTTAGGTCAAATCTATCGTCTTTACTGCGACCAAGTATCATTTTACAGACAGTATTGGAAATAAGCTCCCCAACCTGTTCACTCACATTCACAACAGCACCTGAGGCTGCTACTTTTTCAAGTGACTTCACAAATACTACTAACTCCTCCCTCCTCAAAGGACCAAACATCTCAACCTTTGATGCACTTAAAAGTTGCGTGGTGCACAACTTTCTGACCATGCGCCAATAGGGTCCATACTCAGAAAACGCCATGCCCTTGTTGCCATAAGACATGTATTCTGATGCTTGATTTTTGGGCCTGCTAGCAAAGACAGTGTCATGGGTCTTAAGGATTAGTTCTGCAGTTTCAGGTGAGGAAACAACAATGGTTGGAACCTGTCCTAACTTGATGGACATTATGGGACCATATTTTTTGGCAAGAGCTTGAAGAGTTCGATGTGGGAGTTTTCCCAGGATGTGAAGGTTACCAATAATTGGCAAAGCCTTAGGACCTGGTGGGTGTTTCCTATCATCTTGGAGGTGGTTTGGATGGAACAAGGCAAAGGATAAAACCAAAATGAATAGCACAAGGAGTGCTGCAACAGGGACGCCCAATGTTTCAAGAAACATTTTATGATTTGCTTGATCGAAAATCAAACAAGGGTTTGGATATTTATTAATGTTTTTAAGTACGAACGAACCCAAGTGTTACATGATCATGTGAGAGCCCTCATAAAAAATATCTCCGTGACACACACGACGTCTTTGTTTGAAATCATGTCAATTAGAGATAAATTAAAGTTATAATAATGTAATAATATTATTTGTTAATGGTTGTTGAAAATAAATATTTTTTATCAAATCTATATCCAACCACTCATTCGAAAGTGTGTTAAAATTAACTAAAATAATAATAATAATAATATGTCTAAAAATATCATTTATAATTTGATTTCTAAAATTAAATTAGATATATTTTTATTTTTAATATTTATGCGTTTATAACTAAATTTAATAAAATAATATATTTTAATAATATAATAAATCTAATATTGATAACAAATTCTTTGTTCACTCCGTGATTGGCTTATTTAAGTTATACGTAGAACTAAACGATACTGAAGAATAAACATAATATTTTAACACGATCTTTGTCCATATAAAAAAGAAAAAAATATTAAATTTTATCTCTCATTATTGTATGTCGGCACTAACTATTAGATATTTGTTCACTTGAACTATTTACCTTATGTAAGTCAAAAACAGAATTATAAGAAGGGAAAACGTTTTTAATTTTATCTTCAATAATACGGTTATTGATGAATTAAATAGCATTAAAATTGTTGGTTGGTAGTACTTATTCACACTAGAAAATCTTGTAGCTTTTTTTATTAGGATGAATAGATGAATTGTTTAAAATTTCGTCCGTTATTTATATAAATAATTCTTTTTTAAATTTTAAATAATTTTTTTCATTTTAAAACTATTCAAATAAACGTAAAATCTATAATAAAATATTTAAATTTATTTTTAACTTCTGATTAATAACTACTTTAATATATGTTCTTAACAATTTAATTAAAATTCGGAAAAGTAATAATTATAATCACATTGGACTTCATCAAAGCTTACATTAAATTGTTTCTAAATTTTGGTTAAATTTGGGCTACAAAGACAATTATAATTAAAAATATTTTTCTTTCAAGCTCCAAATATTTCCTAATCTTGATTTGATTCCTCTATTTTTTAAAAGTTTTCTATTTTAATATTAAAATTTTGTCTCCTATTTATATTTTTAATTAATTCTTCTATTTAACTTTTATTAACTTCGATGAAATTGGATGTTGAGATCCATAAATAAGGTATAATTCGTAAAAAAGAAATTAATAAATGAGGTATAGTTCATCAAAAAGAATCACTTTCCCTGCACTTTAATGCTCTGTTTGTTTGAACTGATTTGCGATGAAATACTGTTCACGACGACAGAAACACGAGATTCACCCACGTTTGATTGAACAGATTTGCGAAGAAATGCAGGCGAGGAAATGCGTGAGAGGGGAGAGAGGCTTTCTTCGCTAATCTGCGAAGAAAAGCGACGAAAGTCTGCGAAATGTCCAACTTACCCTCTTTTGTAACGGCGCACGGACCGTACTCGAGCTTCGGATCAATGTCCCCGGAAGGGTGTACGCCGCGTGTTTCAACGAGAACACCAAAAAAACCAAATTCAGCTCCACGTAAGATAGCCAAAGTACGATTGAGCAATCAACATGATATATTTCCTCACATTCCGGCGAAGGTCATCGGGAACATTCTATGGTGTTAATAAGAGGAGGTAGAGTAAAAGATTTGCCAGGTGTGAAATCCCATTGTATTCGAGGAGTCAAGGATTTGTTGGGAATTCGGATCGAAGAAGAGGCGGATCCAAATATGGTGCGAGAAAAACCCAAATCGATATGAATGGAGGATGCCTCGGATCTGTAATTAATGCAATATATGATAGCGAGAAAAATTCAAATACTGATCGCTCAAGCGAAACAAACCGGAGATTCAAGAAGTTTCTTTAAAGGAGCTTATAATAGCGGTTAAACCTTAACCGCTATCTAATATACACTTAAGATAGCAGTTAAAGGGGAACCGCTATTATATCCTCCAATTATGATCGGTCATTTCACGTTATGATCGATCAGGATCGTATTTCGCTCGAGCGAGCGCATAATCGCTCGAGCGAAATACACCCCGAGACAGAAGAATGGTTCTTAAAGGGAGCTTATAATAGCGGTTTTACCTTAACCGCTATCTAATATACACTTAAGATAGCGGTTACCTAAGAACCGCTATTATATCTCCAATTATGATCGATCATTCCACATTATGATCGATCAGGATCTTATTTCGCTCGAGCGAGAGTATTCTCGCTCGAGCGAAATGCACCCCGAGACTGAATCCTCAACTATTTTTTTGAATATTATGTTTTCAAACTTCTCAATTCTACATTTTTGTAACTTATATCATTATATTATCATCCTCATCTCCTCCCATGTTCTACTTTATCTTTACAATAGTTAATATTCTTAAATAATCTATATTTTTAATTATAATTTTTTAATATATATTTCAGAAATTAATAAATTCTAAGGTATTATTTGAAAAACTAATCAATTCTAATCAATAATTTAGAAAAATAACCGATTAGAAGTTCACAAAGCGATTACTGAATCTTTCTTGGAAAAGGATGTTTAACAGTTGCTTCAATTGATTGCTTAGTTTGTATGAAAACTGATATATAAAAAGTTCCAAGCAAATCTGTTTTTAAAAGAGTTTTCAGAAAAAGCTGCATTAATTAATCTGTTGAAAGTTTGTTTTAATCTGTTGAAATAGTCGTTATAATCTGTTAAAAGTCCTTTCAACCCATTAATGCGTTCTTGTTCTTTAACGAATTGTTTTAGACTGATACTGAACAAGTTTTTATCAGTTAAAACTTTTTACAAACATTTTCTAAGAGTGATTTAATCGATTGATTCGGGTTTAATCGATTGATTCAGTTTAAAACTTTCTTATAACACTTTTCAAGTTATTTTAACTGATACAAAGAAGTTTTAATCGATTAAAAACCTGCACATAATTTTTTCTAAGTCATTTTAATCGATTGAAATGCGTTTTAATCGATTGAAACTCTGTACAAAAATTTTCAAGTCATTTTAATCGATTTAAATTTGTTTTAATCGATTGAAATAAGTCTGATCGGATATAATTCAATTCTGATCGATTATAACTCAACTCGATCGGTCATAATTACATTCTGATCGATCATCCTGACTTCCAAATTGGTTTTAATCGATTAAAACGTGTTTTCATCGATTAAAATAAATCGAGTGAGATCATACTTTGCTAGTCGCTCGAGCGAGATCAGTTTCGCTCAAGCGAAAAACAACCCGATGATGAAAATTATGTGCGAGTGTCTTCGCTCGAGCGAGTTTAGTGTCGCTCAAGCGAAATATAACTTGTAATAGCGGTTAAACCATAACCGCTATCTAATATATACTTTAAATAAGCGGTTACAGGGAACCGCTAGTATATCCTCCAATTATGATCGATCATTTCAAATTATGATCGATCAGGATCGTTTTCGCTCGAGCGAGATATAGTCGCTCGAGCGAAATGCAACCCGAGATCGAATCTTAAAATATTGTTTTGAATATTATGTTTTTAAATTTGCTATTAGAGAAAACCTTTCAGAATTGAAAATGTTAAATACTTTTAAATATTAAAATTAACTTTATCAAAAAATAGGAAAACAAAATTTATCCAAAAGAGTTCAAAAATGTATAAGAGTATTCTCAATTTTGAGTTTAATTATATTGTTCATTCTCAAAGTAGAAATTTATATTGTAGTTATTTAATTTACATTTTGTGATCTTCTTAAAATTAGCATCAATAACATTAGACTTTACATTTGATTCATACCTAACTAATTATAGATTAAAAGGAAAGTGGTATAACCATGCATTTTACTTTTCTATTTACCTTATTCTTTTAATTATTTTATATAATAATAATCAAAATATTCACATTCATATGGACATTTTCGAAAATAATATTATTGTATTATTGTTAAAATTAACATCAATAACATTACACTTTATCACTTCTTAATTATTATTCTATTTTCACTGTATTTTATATTTGTTTTAAACAATAATGTACAATTATATTATTAGTTTTCATAATTATTTGTTATTATCAGTCAATATTAATTATTATTTTATATTTTATAATTATTTAATTATTAGTCAAATAATTTATTTAATATGTCAACATTATATTTATAATCATTTGAACCTTATTTTATACAAAGGGTAAAATGGTAATTTTCTTAAATAATCAACATAAAATTATAATTTTTATATCTCATATCAATCAAATCATTCACAATTTCCCATAAACTTTCCTTTCACTTTTCATTCATCTCCCTTTCTCTTCAAATCCCTCCTTTTCCACTCTCTCATTTCCACTCCCTCAAATCACTCCAACCAAACAAAGCCTAAGTTACCTTTTTATATGATATACGATGTATCTGGAATTCTTAGCCAAAAAGTCAGAAGAGTTTTTGGGACTATGCGGTTGAAAATGACAATAAAATGTACTTGATGTTTTGGTAAAAGTGAATTGATGGTAATTGGGTTCGATTAATAATTTATTTTTATATTAATTATTTTATATTTTTTTTAAATATAATTTTAATTATATAAATAATTTTTAAATCTTTATTATTAATTAATATTTTTATTAATAAATTAACAAATTATTATAATTATATATTAAAATAATTAATTATAATTAATAATTATAATTATAATATTATAATATATTTTAATAAAATTAAACAAATATTTTAATTTTAATTTTTTATTTTAATTTTAATATATATATATATATATATATATATATATATATATATTTATAAAGTAGGTTAGTGAATTAGCTCAACCTGTCACTAATCTCGTTGAGTTAACAAATTAGATGGGATAAACCAAAATAAATCAATATATTAAAATTACCAATTTAGCCAGATTAACCTATCATATTTAACTAATTTTATCATCTAATAAAATAAATATTAATTATGATGT